CTGGACGAGCCCTGTTCTGCCATCCACCCTACCTGTGAGCCAGGATGCCAGGTCTGGCCCAATGTGGAGTTGGGTGGCAGCTACAGAACCACTGCTGCCTTTATTATCCCCAGCCCAGTGGGGAAGGCACTCCCACACAGGCCCCTCTGCCCACCTGCCTGCCAGGCCTGAGCAGTGTTCCCACGGGGAGGGTCAGCAGCATAAGTCACAGTCCAACCAGAGGGTCTCAGAATCCTAGATGGGGATGCCGGGGACCCCTCTGGTTTGCACCTGGCATCCTGGGTGGTCCTGTGGCGGTAGAGGGCTGAGGTGGCTTCAGGCAGGCTAGGCAGGTCCACTCGAGTTCTCAGGCCAGCAGGAGAATCGGAGGGTATGTAGGCACTGGGAGTGGACTGTCCTTCCCCCAGGGCTGCTGGGAACACCACCTCCCTGACCTATCATCTGGAAGATGAGGGGTAGGAGTGAGAGGTGTGGAGTGATGGGTCTATCCTGACCCACTTCCCCCAACTGTGCCTGAGGCTCACTCTCCAAGTGACTGGGAGCCCTCTCACCTGCCAGGATCCAGGCCCTCTCACCTGTCCAGCCCCTGCCCCCAGACCACTGGGGTCCATCTGCCCAGCTTGCCAGACCCTGCTCAACTTCGCACTTTGGAGGAAGGAGGGAGAAGAGGTCCCCTAGCTAGCGGAGGTGGAGGAAACCACAGGGGCTATCACCTAATAGCAATGCCTTACCTGGCAGGCTTAGAAAGCTAGGACCGCCCCCTAGCCTCTTGGCCTCTGTGCCTGTACCCCCAACAAGTGAGGCTGAACAGCCATCACTCCCTGCTAAGGCCCAATCCCAGTTCTGCGCCCAGAAGCTCCTGGATCGTTAGTCCTACCCTCCTTCCTTCCTACCATTCCCTTTGCCTGCTATGATCTTCCTAGGGCTGGGGCCATGGAGAAATCACCCAACCCATCCCCTCTGCAGCACCCTGCAGTTAATTCTCTATCTGACGTTGATCTTGACCTTCAGGGTTGGGCCCAGAGCACTGACCCAAGACTGCAGCCCCTTCCCATCTGCCAGAAATGGGAAATTGAGGCTGGGAGGGGCACACGTCTTGCCCAAGGTTACATAGCCTGGTGGCATATGGATGACCTCAAGGGAATCAGTAGTCTTGCCAACTCTCCAGCCCTGCTCTACCCACCCACCCAGAGCTTCTGGAGGTGGGGGGGGGGGGGGAAGGACTTCAATACCATCTTAGGTTCCTGGTCTCAAAGACAGTTTCGTCGTCACTGTCCAGCGAGGCCATGTCAGTGGGGTCCTCAGTGTTAGCCAGGAGGCCGTAGCTCCTCCGCTGGGGTTTCTTCAACCTGCAAGCAGTCCCAAGCATGATCAGTGGTTGTCTCGGATCACTTCCAGGGGCAGCTGACACCCCTTCCTGCTTCCTGCCTTCCCCATTTTCCTTTGTTATCTCTGGCTCTCCGCCTCCTCTGCCTGATCCTCAAAGCTTTGCTGTGAAGCTTCCTGGACTAATTGTGTTTCTATGGCCTCATAAAGTCACAGTGATTCCATTAGTTGCTCTTATGTCAATAATGGCAAGTGGATACCTCCCTTGGCAGACTCCCTTCCAGGCTGTGCTGTTATCCTGCTCTACTGATGAGAAAACAGAGTCTCAGAGAGGGGTGAGGGTGTACCAGAGACACTCTGTCTCATGCCAAAGTCCCGGTCCTGACCACCAACTACCAGGACACCAGGGAAAGGAAGGAAGCCTTCTGAACAGATGCAAGATCAGATACTTAGAGGGGGCACGAGCACTGTGCACCCACAGGAGTGTTGGGGACGAAAAGGGCCCCTTTAAAGCGTCTGAACATACATGGTCAGCTGTGTGACAAAAGCCCTCTGGAGGGAAGCCAGGGAACTGAACCAAAACTTCCCAGGGTATGTGAACCACGGGGAAGGAAGGGGTCGGGAGGACATCAGTGGAACAAAAAAACTGATGGCAGCCAGCCCCCGTGCTGAAAGAGTTGGAGAAGGAAGGCGTGGTCCTTCCTTATCTATTTCTAGGGTGAGGGACATCGGGGATCACAGACCCAGTTTGGGCAGGTGGGCTTCGCCTGGCACGAGCTACAAAGCAGAAACATAAACTGGGCTTGCCCTCCCCCACACGCACAGACCAGCCTGGGTAGCTGTGTTCCGAGAAACCAGCATCTGTGCTCCGGCATCAGGAAGCACCAAGGTATCACATGACTGCCAATCACCCTGAGATCCCGGATAACGCTTGCAGTTCACGCCCACTCCTTAGGGGCTGGGCGCACGCCCTTGAGCACGTGAGGCTCAAGCCGTGAGCTCATTTGGCACGCCAGGGAGGCTGGCATGCGCCTGACATACCTAAAGGCCCGGATGAGGAAGTAGAGCACTGCTAGGCCGAGGAAGCCCAAAAGCACGTAGAAGGAACGCAGAATCTGCGATCTTGTCGAGCCTGGCGAGCCGGGCGGCCAGCGGTGCGTGCTGTTGTGAGGCGCGCCTGGCTGGCTCCCATTCGTCAAAGCCTGTGATGGGGAGAGCGTAGTCTGTGCGAGGCGTGGCGACGAGGAAGCGGCCTCCCGAGTTCCAAAGAGCAGCACTGACAGCAACAACGTCGGCAGGAGCAACCGTGGCACCGCGCACAGCCCCATGGCCCTGCGGAAGCCGTGGCTGCACCCCGCCCCCAGTCCTCCGTCACTCACCCGGCAAGGGGCGGTGCCAACCAATGGCCTGCAGGGGCGGAGCTCGGCCTGGGGTGTGGCGGGGGGGGGAACGCCCCGCCCCTTGGGCGCTAACCTCGCTTCACCTCTAGCTGTCCCAGTGTTCTGCACACCCTGTCCTAGGGCTCGGCTTGCCTCCTATGCCTGTGACTCAGTTCCTTCTGGCCCAGAGCACAATTGCTATAACCCAGTGGTCGGCAAACTCATTAGTCAACAGCCAAATATCAACAATACAATTGAATTTTTAAAAAATATATTTTATTGATTTTCCACAGAGAGGGATAGTTAGAAACATCAATCAGCTGCCTCCCGCACACCTCCCACCGGGGATACGCCCATAACCAAGGCACATGCCCTTGACCGGAATCGAACCTGCGACCCTTCAGTCCGCAGGCCGAGGCTATATCCATTGAGCCAAACTGGTTTCGGTTGAAATTTCTTTTAAGAGCCAAAAAACCGACTTCTGCGCATGGGCCACAAAGTTTCAATCGACGTGCGTGCCAGCGTGTGGTATTTTGTGGAAGGGCCACACTCAAAGGGCTAAAGGGCCGCATGTGGCTTGAGAGCCACAAGTTTGCCGACCACTGCTATAACCAACTGGAATGCCCAGTTCAGGGGACAAGTCAGAAAAGCTGGGTGACCAGAATGGACTACAGGCCACAGGGAGCCAACACCCTCACAAGGTTCCCAATTGTATAGCGGAGTCAGAGTAGGGCAAGGCCAGGCCAACTTCTGCATATGGGCCAACAAGGGAGCCTTGGGACTCTAGGAGCTCTTGCTGTTCTGGTCCCCAGACCGGCTCTAGAGCTTCAGAATAGGCCCTCTTGAAAGGTAGGACTGCCTGCTCGCTCTAGTCTGGGCGTTCTGTCTTCAACTGTAGTGAAGGGCCTCAGCCATCCTGACCACAGTGAATTGACGCCCAATGCTATCACCACCACCACCAACTTTATGAGTTGAGCACAGACCCAAGGCCTCAGAATCAGGGTCCAACCCCAACTCTGCACCCCGAAACCAGAGCAGGAAGTCACAGCTCAGGAAGCAAGCTTGGCTCAATGGGCAAGCACAGATGAAGATACTTATTCTGGCTAGATAGCTCAGTTGGTTAGAGCAGTGGTCGGCAAACTGAGGCTTGCGAGCCGCGGTTTGCTGCCCTGTTGACTGAGTTTTGCCAACCATTGCTAGACTAAATGTTACCGTGTAGTTGGAAACTGTGAGGATTAGGCAATTGTGGCATATTGTGTGCAAAGAGGTAAAGGGTAATAAATGACAGTGGTCAGCAAACTCATTAGTCAAGAGCGGCAAACCGCGGCTTGTGAGCTGCAGTTTGCTGACCACTGGGTTAGAGCACTGTCCCTAAAGGCCAAAGGTTTTGGGTTCAATCCCGGATCAGGGCACATACAATGAATGCATAAATAAGTGGAACAACAAATTGTGTCAACCCCAATATCAATAAAGAACGGAACAAAAAGTCATAAAAACATTCCCCAGTTACCTCGAATTACAGGGCTACCTCCACATATGAGCTAGCCAAGGGAGCAGCTTGCGTCTCAGAGGAACAAAAATGCTTTGCCAGAGCCCTGAGAGAGAGGTGCACATCCCAGGTGAGGGAGCAGAGACCACACCTCCTCCTCTTAGGCTAAGTGTGCCTCCAGACCAACCAAGAAGACAATTAAGTGACTGGCTGGTCTGTTTGGTTTGAGTACAGCTAGTGCCCTGAACCACGGCCACAAGAGGCTTTCTGTACGGGAGCCCCACTTCCCACCCAGCCTCCACCGGAGGCTCAGGGGCCCACCCTCCTTGGTCGCACCCCAAACCAGACTCAGATTTCTAGGTAGACACACCAGTCCTTTATTCAAATCCGACTTCCACATTCTGTCACACTGTTGCAGGTGAGGACTGGCTACGTGCAGACTGCCACACACCGGTCTTCCTGAGTGACGAAACCCTGCGCTCCAACCTTGCCAATAAAACACCTGCTGGAAAGATGGAGGAGGAGTGAAGGGAGAACTCCAGCTGGCTCCGGCAGGAGGCACACACAGAGAGCTGTCCTCACGCATGCTGTAGGTGGGACAGGAAACCAGAGAGAACCCACAAGGACCAGGCATTGTCAAGGCCGAAGGACCATGTGTCACCCCCCAGAAAAGCACTTACAGATGACAAGCTGAAGGAGCAGGGGGCTGGGCATCTGGTTCCTCTCCCAGGTGAAGTCCCTCATGGGACAGGACCCCAGGTCATCACTGTTCTTGGGCCACCCTTCCAAGTTGCACTGGCTTCCCTTCAACCTGCCAAAGCAAAGGAGTGTTACCCGCAGGGTTTTGGACATGCTCATAGCTTCATAGCTGCTTCCCCCTCCCCTAAACCATCCACAGCTCCTAGGAGGGTCTCAAGCTAGTCACCAGGCCATCCTGGCAGAGGCCCTGTCACCGGCTGGTGTGCCCAGGGCAAACCTGAGCGTTGGCCAGGCAGTGTTCCATCCCTAAGCAGAGCCAGCCTCCCGCTTGGGATGGAGCTGCTTAGAGAATGGTGTGGGCTCTAGGAAAAAAAACTGATGGAGGCAATAGACATCAGAGAGCCTTAGTTAGGAATAGGAGTTAGGGAGGTCTGGAAAAGACTGTCAATTGATGAACAAAAAATCCGAAGGCAGGATGCTCAGTGTTCTCTAATCCTGCTTACAGATTGAACCTACTCGTGAGGTGAAACTTCCTGGGCTGCTCGCCTGGCTGCAGGCAGGAAAGGGCTAAACAGCCGGGGTCTGCTTTAATTCTAGTTTTATTTTATTTAAAAAAAAAAATAAAGATAATGGGAAAACAAACAAAAAGTCATAAAAACATTCCCCGGGCATATAATTTTACTTTCAAATGAGCTCTTGACAAGAGGAGGGATGTGGACACGAGCAAAAGGAGTTACCTCGAATTACAGGGCTATCTCCACATATGAGCTAGCCAAGGGAGCAGCTTGCGTCTCAGAGGTTTCTGTTGGGCGCACAACACTTCTGTCCTCCGAGGGCTGCAGCTTCCATAGGCTAGCGGAGAACTCTCAGAACTTGTGAAGCAACAGCAGAGCTAGCTAATGAGCAGTCAGTCTGCAGTCGCCCAGGGACACTGCCTGCCGTCTGCTCGCTGGCCTGCTTCTAGGCTAAGGCAGTCGGGTCAACGTCAGGTGCCCACGTGGGTCCGTCACTGCTGCACTGCCCGCCCCACTGAGCCCTCCGGCTGCCACTGCCAGAAACCGCCCAAGGGCTGCCTTGAGGTCCAACCTACCCATTCCCGTCAGCCACCTGCTCACTAACCAGGACTGGTGGCAGTCTGCTGTCACCAGGGGCCCGCCAGCGTCAGTTTACTCTGCCTTCCTGGTCTAGCTCTCCATGGGCCTCAGGCAGGACTCACAGACCTGCTTCTAAAATTGCCCTCTCTGCTGAGTTCTGAGTGCCAAGAGCTCGCAGCAGGAGTGTATTGAGCAATGAAAGGGAAATTGTCAGAGCGAGGTTCATTTCAGACGGTTTTTTAATCTGCTTCGTAAAGCCAAAAAAACTGTGTACAAGAATTCCTTAACCACTTCAAATACAACATCAATGGGATATGCATATGTCTTCCAGTAAAAAAGGACAATATAAATAAACATTTTCAAGAACCTCTTGGTGACATCTCCAAGTCTACTGTTAAGTCATACACAGTAGATGGGCCGTACAGGCCGGGCCCAAGTGGCAAGGCACCTCTGCTGCCACCTGGGATCTGGGACAGGTCCTACCATGCTACACTCAGAAACGGTACATGAAGTTGGAAAAAACCCACGGCTCCCTCAGCTTCCAACAGAGAGCCGACTCAGAGTCCATCCAATCTCCAAGAGATTTGAATTGGAGGACCCAACTTCACCAGGCCAACCCCACTAAAAAGTTAAGTAAAAAAGACAACACAACCAAAAACAAAAAACCCACACAACCCCCGATAATTTTCTAAAAAACTCATGGCTCATGGTAAGAAGAAAAACGTAAAATCTGAAGTGCTTTTCAAAACGTTTTTAAAACCCTTAAAAACGGAGTGTTTCCTTAAAAAGTAAAGTCTAGTATTGAAGCCATCTCGGGGGTCAGAAGCAGTCAGGCTGTGTTTGACAAGATCAGAACTGATTAGACTACAAAAGTGGGTACAAGGAGGTGTGTTCACTACACATTAACGATTCAGCGAAGCTCCCAAAATCTTTAAATATACAGCCATTGGAAGGACGATCTTGAGCAGGAAGGATTTTTACTCGTTGTGTGTAGCTGAGAACAAGAAGCAGGTACAGTGTAAAAGCACTGAAGCACGCAACAAGAGGCAGCATTCCACTCCCGGGTCCAGATCTGGAGGGCTCGGCCCTGCAGCCTCGGGAGCAACCAACCCCCCCACAGCCAAGGGCGGCGGGGCCGGGCGGCCGCACATGCAGCTATGCTGCCTGCTTGGCAGGCCCCTCGTCTCCCTTTCCTTCTTGGTCAGTCTGGTCTAGCTTTTATGTTTTGTTGTAGAAATGGCTGCTGGCACGGAGACCTGAGAGGGCAATCTCATCCCTTACGGGCAAGCACAGTGACAAGGTCTGAGTGTCGCACATAGAGGGCACCAAGGCTTGCCGAGCTCCCACCACAGGCCCTCAGAGCGTGACTTACCATAACTGTCGTAGCTGTCTCTATAGGACCCTCCAGAGCTCCGATCGCCATAGCCGCCACCCTGACTCCGGCTGTAGGAAGGACACATGTGGGTGCTGGAGGGCAGTTTAGTGTACTCACCCCATCCCTGTGCCAGCGTCACAACACAAGCCTGCCACACGCCCAGGCAGGGCTAAGACCTCACCTGCTGTAGTAGTCTCTGGAGCCCCCGTAGCCCCCACTCCTGGACTCGAACCGGCTCCCCCCATAGCCTCGGTCCCCTCCTCCTACAGACAGAGACAGGACGGACAAGTGAGTGCCAGCTCCTTCCAGCAGTGTTCCCATCGTGTCCGCAAGGGCCTCAGGCCCCAAGAGTGGCACTCACCTCTGGAGAACCCACGGCCGCGGCCTCGGCCCCCACGGAAGAAGCCCCGGCCCCCAGCAGAGCCGCCTCGGTACCCACGAGATCGGTTATCAGATGACTTGCCAGCCTGGTCAACTCGAATCTGTCGCCCGTCCACAGACTGTGAAGACCAAGAGGTTGGCTCGGGTCAACCTCTGAGCCTCGTGACCCACAAGCCTGAACCCTTTCATCCCCAGACAGCTGCCCCTCACCTTCCCATTCATGGCCATCATCGCATCTTTGGCATCGTCGATGTTCTCAAAGGTGACAAACCCAAAGCCCCGTGACCGCTGGGTCTCCCTGTCTTTCACGACCACCACTGCGGAGGGAGAAATCTGCCGTCAGCACTTCACCTTCCCCCAAGCAGCCCTGGTCAGCCGCCGCCAGTCCAGCACCGCCTCACCTTCAGAAATCTGTCCGTATTTTGAGAAGACCTGCTCCAGCGACTGCTCATTGGTGTCAAAACTCAACCCTCCAACGAAAAGCTTGCCTTCATCTGATGCCATGGTGGCCTGTGGCAAATCGTTGAAATCCTCACTGAGATCCTCCAGGGGCTTCATCGCTCACCCCTCCCTCCTATTTTACTTTATACAAATGACATATGCTCGTTGGGGACACATTGAAAAATTCTCTTTCTGCCATTTATCACCCCAAGCACACACCCAGAACTTAATTTTAAAAAGCGGTTAATTCCTTCATCACTCAGGGCCACGCCCCCATTCCGGTCTCCCTGAGGGCAGCCCGGTTTTGTGTACTCAGTGAGGCACTGTGGACCCCAGATGACCCCCTCAGGAGGTAATTAGGGCTGGGCACTACAGGCCGACGCCTAACTCCTAACAAGACCGTCGGGGTGCGGGGCGGCAAAGTGCTTTTGATCCACCACAGGGCGCCTGTGGGGTGGCGGGGGCTGGACCTCGGTAGGAGCTGGGGCAGAGTCCCACGCGGGGGTCTCCACCATGAAGTGGGCAAGTGGGCGGGTGTTGACGTGGACCGACACTTCCCAGACTGGGAAAACCTCTGCCATATGTCTCTAGAACCACACAGTTTGAAGACAAACTTGGGGCGCCGGAAGGAGAGGGGGACACCGGAATGAAGGCTGTACTCCCCTTAGTGCAAATCCAATGGGAAACCGGGGAAGGGGGAGCCTGGCCCGCCCCCGCCGCACGCATGCGCCCTGAGCGCGCCCTGCGCCACTCCATCCGGGCACTCGGCGCTCCCGCCATTTCGCGGGGCACAGCCTCGCGCTCGCAGCCGCCATTTTGCGGTGGCGGCCCGCTTTGGGCGAGCCTAGGCCTCTAAGGGGACGCCCTCAAGCTGCGGCTCGGCCCGTCTACGGCTGCCCCTCGCCGCCGGCGGGGCGGACTCCACCCTGGGCCCGCCCAGGCACCACCCCTGCCCAGGGGCGTGCCGCCGCCGCCCTGCCTCATCCGGCCGGCCTCAGGCCGCCCGCCGCCCGGGGCCCTCGGAGCCGGTGCCGCCAGGACCCTCACCACTGAGTAGGGCAGGTCCCTGACGCAGGCAGGAAGACGACGGTGCGAAACGACCAGAGCCTCCTAACGTGCGAGTGTGGGGGGGGTAACCGAGCGCCCGGCCTTATGTACGCCGCCTCCTGGCTCCGCCCCCAAGTGCCACCCCCTGCTCCGCGTTGGCCAATCCCAGACTCCACGGGCAGCGGCCATGCCTCATATTCATGAGCTGTGGGCCGGGCTCGCATAGGCCACGCCCTCTTTCCGCGCGCTAACGACGGGCGACGTGATTGGCGGAGACGCGTGGATCCGCGTCCCCCGCCACCTGCGAGCGGAGGGCGGGGCCGGCGCGCGGCGGGGCGGGGTCGACCCACTTGCGCGAGCCGCTCGGGGTCTGGAACAAAGGGCCCTCCAGCCGCAGTTGCCGGAGGCTGGCGCCCCTGAGAACTCTGGTGGTTGCCATGAATCGCAGACATATCGACCCACGTTCCCATAGACAACAAGCCCCAGTTCTGACACCCAACTTCATCTGAACCCCGACAACAGTCCACATAACCAACATCCACGCAGTTCCAGGGTTCAAAGCGGAATACACCACGTGATATGCCACAAACCCCACCAAAACCCCATTACTGAGACAAGCTCATTCATGTGGGCCCCAATATTCACTACCATTCCAATTCTTCCTATTTCTCAACTTTGGGGCGCCCCAACTTTACCCAACCTCTAGACCACAAGCTGACCCCCACCTTGCCTCTCAAGCCCACAACTGGCTGTCCTTGAGTCTTCACTTACATTCAGCTCAGCCCTGGCTTCCCCTTCACCATATCTCCAGCATATCTGCCCCAGCAAACCCAGAACTCACTCAATACCCTTGGGGAGGAAGAGGCGCAAGCCAGTACCACTCTGCTCCTCCTGTGTCGTGTTTCCAGTCTTTTTTTTTTTTTAATATATATTTCATTTATTTTTTACAGAGAGGAAGAGAGGGGGATAGAGAGTTAGAAACATCGATGAGAGAGAAACATCGACCAGCTGCCTCTTGCACATCCCTTGACCAGAATTGAACCTAGGACCTTTCAGTCCCCAGGCCAACGCTCTATCCACTGAGCCAAACCGGTTTCTGCTGTCCTGTCTTTTAAAGGTGTCCTAAGGTCTCTGCTATCAGGAGAACCATCTTTACAGAGATCCTTACACCTTGGAAAGCCCCTGCGGCCAGAGAAAGTTAGTGCAAAACCTTGCCTGCCAGACCAAAGATCCTAGCGACATCCCAGCCCTAGCAAGGATGACACCCCAGAAAAGTTCCCGTCCCACTCTAGCCCTCTCAGGGGGGGGTCTAACTGATGCAGCAGGGACCTGCCTGGGCACAGACGCTGTCTCCTGTGATACAGTCTTGAGAACCCCTCTCCCAGGTATCAATTCATGACTCATTGTGGTCCCCTCTGCAGCTTGCCCCACAATGCCACAGCCCCTATATATTACTCCCAGTCAGCAGCAGCCTGCTGCTGTGTCAGCCGTTTATACAGGGTGGTTATTAAAAGAAGCAAAGAAAGATAACAGCACTCCGCTCCCTTTCCTGCTGGCCGCCTATGGGGAGTCTGAGGCCAGGGTTCCCTAGCCCAGGAGCAATTCCTGCTCCCCCTTTCTGACCTGCTTCCCCGAGAAAAGTCAGGTCTCAGCTCAGACCAGGGGTTCCCAGAACCACTGTGCCTTAATCACCCTCTGCTTCTCCCCGTCCCGCCTTGGCCCCACTTTCTGTGGTTCAGAATTGCCCTGGTTCCTTGAAGGGTCCTGTTCATTCACTCATTCTACCAGCACACGATTATTAAGCGTTTGCTACGATCCCGATGCTAGGTACGGGCTGCACTAGTACCCACGACTTGTCCTGGTTTCCCATCACAGTATGGACCCATCCATGCCTGCAGATACCAGTCACTAGGTGCACCGGGCACTGTGTGGGAATTGTGTGCTTGCGTCACAGGTGTGTAACCTGTCTCCGTATCTGTTCCTGTGGTCACCTGGGTCTGCCCGTTCCTGTGACTCGGTGTGTAACCAGCACAGTGTGTGTCCCGTGGGGTGCTCTCAGGGGACTGGGACCACCTCATCTCTGCTGCAGCCGCTGCGTCACGCCCACCCCGAGGACACTAGGGGGCGCTGCGGCCTAGCTGTCACCTTGACCCGGGTCCGGCCGTCCAGTCCGGCTGCCCACCTCGCGTTTCAGCGTGGGAGAGGGTCCCCGTCTCGCCCCACGCCTCAGCCCGAGCCAGGGCGGGTGAGTGGCCGGGGAGGAGGAGGCTCAAAATAGCCGCGGGCGGGGGCGAGGCTGCTATTTGCGGCTGGGAACGCGCGGTGCTCGCCGCCTGCCTGGCGGGGATGGGGGATTAGGCCGGGAGGACCCGGCCGGCTCATTCACAAATAGCCCCGCACAAGGGGGCCAGCGCGGAGGGGGCGCCAGCCTCCTGAATCACCCAGCTTTGGTCCCCTGGCTGGGTTCTCCTCCCCTCGCCTCCCCGGCGTCGCCAGGGAGACGGGGCGGGGCCGCCGGGCTCTCGCACCGCCTCCTCCGTCCTCTCCGCCGCGCCCCGCCCGCGGGATTGCCTGGTCCCACCCCGACCCAAGCTAATGACCAGGCGGAGGCTGTAATGAGGGTCTGGGGCCAGGACCGGAGTGGCTGGGATGAAAGACACTTGTATGTGGAAGACCCGGGTACCGCGTCATAACTGCCCCCTCCCCTAGCTGCCAGGCGGGGACGCAGAAGCAAGCGGGATGGTCCTGGCCCCAATCCGTGGGGTCCAGAGCCAGGGTAGGGGAAGCCGAGACTGAGTGAGTTCGGGAGTTGCCAGGTGTGGTGCACATGTGTGCCTGTGGGCAGTGGACTCGTGGGTACAAACACAGAGAAACAAGGATTCCTGGGGACGCTTCGTGGACACAAAAATGGGGCTGTATGTGTGTGTGCGCAAGGGATGGCTGTGTGTGCACGGAACTCGTGTGTGCAAACACGTGGAGGTGTGTGTGATCGCATATGACGACATGCTTGCATGGCACCCCATGTGAAAGATCACGGGGGAGAGAGGCTGTGAGCAATACGGATGTGGATGTGGGAAAGCCAGAGACAGGGCAGGGTATACGTGACTGACGGGCTGGGACTCACAAAGCATCCGTGTCCATAGGTGGGTAGTATGAGTTATGCCCCTGCTATGGGCACACCAGCTATGCATCAGCGGTAGCCAGGGTCTCTTTGGGCAGAGCAGAGACACAGGAGGCCAGAGCAAAGAGGAGGAAGAGTTAAACGGCTCTCCACTCTGCAGGAGGAGGTGGGGGCTTCTGATCCTAGCAGGGCCCAGGTGGCTGCCAACTATGAACACGAGATTTAGCTGTTTCCGGCTCAGTTTCTCTCCTGTTTTCCACGTGGAGGAGGATGCACACCGGGCAGGGGGACAGACACCTGGGAGAGCTGCCTGTGACTCACCACCCAGGATTGCGGAGGCTGATTCTTCTGCACCTGCGCAGGCCCCCATCCCAGGGTGTAAATGCCAGGCAGTGACCCCAGTCCCCACAAACTGCATGCACCATGAGATGGGCTGCAGAATGGGACCCTGAGGGACCCAAGGAGACTCAGATCTTGAATATTTGCCCCCCACCTGCACCTGGGCAGAAGGCATGTGGGAGCCACAAGCCTGACTCTTCCATTACACACACGTTTGCTCTTTCCCCATTTCATGTTTCTCCAGAGACCTGAATAGTGGTCCCTTCTGCTGAGGGAAACTGAGTCACAAGCAGGATGGTAAATGCAGCGGTGAGCACGCACACACCAAAAACATGCATTCAGGCATAGGACACGTGTCAGAAGGAGCTAATCCCGAGGGATGCCCTGTTCATCTTACCTTGGCCCCACACACAAGATGTCATCGCACACAACACACACACGGGCTCCATGCAGGCACAGGGGGCTTATGGCATCTCCATGGCAGCACTGGAGTGGCAGGAAGGTAGAGTGCCCCCTCCCTGACAGCTGCAGCGATTCAGAGAAGGGCTGTGCAGCAACCAGCCCACACATGTGCCCACACCCCCCGGCACCCGTCCCCACCAGAATCACCTGGCTAGCCTCCAGTGAGGCCTGTGTGGGTGAGTCTGTAGCTGAGTGTTGGGTGTGTCTGGGGAGGACACTGCCTTTGGATGAGCAACTCTTCCAGGACCTGAGTGCCAACTGCCAGTGTAACTCCCCATTTTGTAGTTTTCTTAAGGGAGGTCTCATCCAGGCTAAGAGTTGGGGTGCAGTTTGATTTGAGGATCACTCAGTTGACTGAGGTTGCGGTGGGACCAAAATGCGAGTTGGAGCGGGTGGTGTGTGTGGGTGGTGTTGTGTGTTAGGGTTGCTGGGTTGCAGAGCAGAGTGCTGGTGAACTGTGACGAAGGGTGCTATGTGTGAATGTCCAGCAAGGAGGTGGGTTGGTCTCTCTGGGGCTATGGGGCCCTGTGTGGGAGTCTGAGGTGTTGTTGCTTCTCCAGGAGGCCTGTGGGAGCCTGTGTGTGTGTGTGAAGCCAGTTGGGGCCAGCCTGTGGGGGCTGCCTTCCCCTGCCACTTCCTGGGGCCGGCCCTGCCCACATTCCAGAGGGCTAGGGGATACCCTCCCCATCTCTGTCTGCTCCCAGACCTATAACCTTGGTCCAAACCCACTCCCTTGGTCCTGGGCACCTAAGGCAGCAGTAGCTGGCTCCAGGGATGGGCACTGCAGTGGGGGTGGGGGCCAGAATGTGCCAAGCACAAGAGAGGGGGCTTCCAGAGATGAAGCAGAAGTAGTGAAGGGGCTGGTGGGACAGAGATCACATGAAAATAGGAGACCCATACAGGAATAAAGACAGGCTGAGAGACTGAGCAGGGCAAAAAGAAAGAAAGGGGATGAAGACCGAGGAAGAGAACTGGCTAGAGGGAGGAGAGGAAGGCAGAGGATAGAGACTAGGGGCAGGCAGGCGGCAGTTGGCCAAGGACACAGGATCAGGGTAGCAGTTGGGAAGCAGGGCCCCAGGTGACAATGGCCCTGCCCCCACCCACAGGCGGGCTGCTCACCTGGTTAGAATTACACCAGAGGCCACTGGTCCTCAGCCTTCCCAGGGCTGGGCAGCCGTGGGTGGGACTGGAGTCAAGACTCCTGGGTTGGGCCCCAGCACCTTGGCATGGTAACTCCCATTCCCAATGAGCCTGGAGAGAAGGGCGGATTCCACTAGGTCTGCTGGGGGTGGCTGTGCCCCTGGCACTTGTCCAGTGCCGAGGTGCAGCCGTCCCTGGTGGCATACCATTCACTCCCATCTCACCAGAAGGCTCCTGTCTGGGGGCCTGGCTCCCCAAGCGACCCAGGACTGACTGTGGCCTTTGGCATGTCAGCATCACTGTGCAGCTAGCCACCGTGACCCACTGGGCCACCCCCAGAGGACTCTGGCCTCAAGTAGAAAGCCATGACTCTTTCCTGACCACCCACAGTGGCCTCATCACCCCAGAAGCATGGCCAACTTGTGAGCCACCACCTGGATTCAGGCTCCACACCTTGGTGTCCACACCAGCCAGTCAACACCACTATCCTTGACCCTCAAGTCAGCCTTAAGATCTTCGCCTGGGACCAATGGTTTGGCTCACATTCTCCCCGGCTGGCAAAGCCTACCTCGTTCACACTGACTGTTGACTTCTCTGAGTGACTTCTGGTCACAGACTAATCTGAGCCACACCCAGGCAGCGACGTGAACTTCCTGCCACCCTAACCTCTCCCTCTCGGGTCCTCAACAATCTCTGCCTGGAGGCTGGCCAGGTGCCCAGAGCTCACAGGGGTGCCTTCCTCCAGGCTCCTAGCGCCCTGCAGCCCTTTTGCCGATCATCTCCAGCCCCACCTGTCTCTTAGCAGGCCTCTCCCCTAAGCCCAGGCCCAGCGTCCAGCCACTGTCCACCTGGATGTTCTGGCTTCTGCTCCCTTCACCCGATTCCCGCTTTTCTGTCTCCTGGTCTTTGCAACACCCACCCCTGGGGCATCCGTTGCCTCTGCCTCTATTTGACAAACTCCTATTCCATGAGCAAAGCCTCATTTCAAGTGTCCTCTTCCCATTGGGTCTCAGGGCTTCCCCAGCTTGGGGACTACAGTACTCTTTCAGCCGGGGGTCACGCACACGTGGACGTTGGGGAGGGGCCAGCAGGCATTACCTGGGCGTAGAAGGGGCCCACGTGAGCGCGCCGGTGCGGGGGTGGGATGGGGGGGAGGGGGCACGGGGGCGCCCCGGACCCGCCTCCGCTTCCGCCGGCATCAAAACTGCGGCCAAAGGGGGTCTACCGCCTCTCGCCGCCACACTGGCGCACTCAGCCCGGCCCGGACTGTCCTGCCGGGGAAGGCAGCCCGCCCCCCGGTGTGTGCAGAGGCCAAGGGGCGCCCCCCACGGCGTCACCGGCGGCGGGCGGCGGGCGGGGCGCCCGCTGTACGGTGACGTAAGAGCCGCTCCAAGGCGCGTTGCCCGGGAAACCACGTTTCCAGCCCTGTGGTTTCCGGGGCCGCCTCTTCCCATTCATCTTTTTCGTCAATGGGGGAGGAGGCGGTTCAGGACAAACCCCCAACACTCGCGGCCCCAGTAGTCCCTGCCCTCCCTGGGCCTCAGTTTACCTTTCCTGGCCTCCTCTTCCTCCCCCCCTCCCCCCCGCATGGTCTGACCTGCCGCCCTTCCGGATGGGCACCTCCGCCCGCACTTCCTGTAGGTGTCAGCCCCCGGCGGGGTGGAGTCCGCTTAGGACCCCTGGCCAGGGCCGTGACTCTTGACCCCGGGGCTGCGCCCTGAGGGGTAAGTTCCGGGGCTTCAGGGCCAGTATTCCCCGCCCTGCATTATGCACACCCAGCCCGGTGATTCAGCGTGTTCCTCAGTGGACACCCTCCCTCTGCTTCCCGCACCCAGCTCTGCGGTGGTCACCCGGGCCCTTCCCCTCCCCGCCCCCTCCAGCCGGATTGCGTAGGAGGGTGTTCCACCTGAACTGCCCCACCCACGCTTCTACCACCTGCGGGGACATTTGATCCGTTGACACTGATGTCTGAAGTCATCAGCCTGACCTGGGATACCTTTTTTTGCCGCGAGCAGGCAGATGATCTGGGGGTGAATGGACGGTGGGAGGGGCCTAAGTGTCTCCACGAGATGCCCCCAGGATATTCCTGGGAGGGAACCTTTCCCTTGCTTCTGGGGTCCCTGGAGCTGGGCCTTGGGCCATCAGAAATCAGACAGAGAGGCCTGGTCAGATACCTGATAGAGCATCCTTTCATATGCCAAAGTTTCGGGTTAGAGTCCTGGTTAAGGCACAAACAAGAATGAATGAATGCATAAAATAATTTGAACTACAAATTGATGTTTCTTTCTTCCTTCCTCTAACATCAATATAGAGATTAAAAGAATCAATCAATGACTGTATAAATAACTGGAACAAAGCAATCTCCAATTTAAAAAATTGGCCAGGGGTGGTAGTCACCGATTTCAAAAACACCCCCTGGACTAGTTTTCTCCTCTGTGGAATGGGAATGTAAATATTATCTTAGGTGGCAGTACTTGTGAAATGAGGAAATCCATTTAAAATAAATGATTCTCCTGTGTCTGTCCAGCCCCAAATAGATCCCAGAGGTGGGAAACAGTGAAATTTCCCAGGCTGAGGGTTGAGCCTGGAGGCTGGATGGTCAGGGTTGGGGAATGCTGGAATGCAAGGCCAGGGAGAGTTCACACTGGGTCTGGTAGCCTTGCACAACAGCCCCAGGCCCTGGGAATTGGTTCCTTACAAGAGGATTGCATCCTCTGGAAGAGGGTGGCGAGTCCGGTGGTATCCTGGGAGGGAGCTTGTCTGGGGCCAACCAGGGTAGGGAATGGAGAGGGCAAGGCCTGGAACCCCCTACCCATACCCTGGACCTGGGCACTGGAGGTGGCCTAGCTACCCCTCCCTTGCAGGGGCAGCTTCCTGCCCACCCTCACCCTAACCAGGGAAGGGGCCTGGGAGGTTATGGGACCCAGCAGGCCACCTCGTACAGGCACCCGGCCCAGGCGTGTAAGAGAACCAGCTGTCACCCTCTGGGCAGACTCCCCTCCCCAGAGGGAGGAGGGACTTTCACTTTTGTCATTTTATTACTTGAAATCACCACGTTGGTGTTTGTGTAGGCTTTTTTTTTTTTTCATACAGGAAACTCATGAAAAAAGTGCAGGCACACCCCACAACCAGACCCCAACCCCCAGGACTGGTAATGCTTTCTTTAGGGGCTGGGCACGGTGGAGGGGGGCCGGGCAGGGCTGGTTCCTGCCGGGGCAGCACAGACATCCCTTTAAAAAATGTTAATAAAAGAGAACACACATTTAAATAGGTATCCAAGACAGTTTTTCAAAAAAACAAATCTGCCCCTCTTCTCTCCTTTTAGAAAAACAAATCTCTGACCCCTAACTTTCTGACCCCTCCTCCCCGCCCACCCCCCACAAAAAAAATGTACAGAGCTACAGTTAACACATGATGTTCACATCTGAAACCATTAACTTGGAACACATAATGGGGAAGGAGTGAGGACCTGGGGGTTCACCTACGAGTGGGACAGAAGGGGGGAGACAGGCAGGGGTGGGGGGTCCTGCAGGACAGACAGGTGTGTGTGTGTGGGGGAAGGCCCAGACATCTCATCTCCATTTATCAGTAAAAAAAAAAAAAAAAAGTGAATGAAAAATAAACTCCACCCACAATGAAATGGCCCCAGTTAAGGGGGAGTCCTGTCCCCTCAGCTCTGGGGGCCAAGGACCCCTGGGGCATGGGCATGAGTGGGGAGGTCCCATATTAGACCAGCAGCAACCTCCCAGGGGGTTAATGCTACAGTGTAGCTCCTAACTATGAGATTCACAGCTCAGCACCCCCTCCCCTCCCCTTCCCTCCAGGTTGCAGGAGGGCCACCCCCAGACACAGTCCGCAGGCCCAGATCACTAGGGTTGGGCAGAGAATCAGGGCTGGGGGCATCTCCCCCGCCCCACAGCAATGTCTCTCCTGATTTTTTTTCAAGAGAAGATTCCCAACTACTATTGGCTCAGTCAGAAAATGAACAGTCTATAAATACCCAGAGCTCAGGAAAAAAGACAAGAAAAAAAAAAAAACACGTGGGGCTGGAGAGTGGCCTCAGAAGAGTATCGCACAGTGCGTGGCCAGCAAAGGCAGGCGACAAGTCTGTTCTCCATCCCTTTTCTGCCAGGAGAGGGTACTGCCCCCAGGCCTGAACTCCAAGGCAGGCTCTGGCCGGCCTCCCCTGAAACAGCTTTTCTGTTACAGGAAAAAGAAACTCAGAAGAGAAAGTAGTAGACGCGGAAGAGACGGAACAGCCCCTGGTCTGTGCAGCTGTGGGTCCGGTGAGGTGTTTGGAGCCCCGGGGGCCCTGCTGGGGAGGGGGAGGCCAGAATTGGCAGTGGGGGTTCTCTCCTCTGTGGCCCCCTCCTGTCTGTAAAGTGCAAATGAGGCATCTACATTTTGGACTTAAACCTGAAGAGGGTGGGGGTGGTGGAGCATCAGAGCCGGCGGAAGGGGTGTGGGGGGGCTTCTTCCTCGTTTCTGCTCTAAACCATCTGGAAAGGCTGCTACATATTTGGAGCTCGGGGAAGGTGGGCAGGGAAGGACCCTGTGTGGCTGAGGGAGAGGGCGGGGGTACAGAGGAAGAGGGGGGAGGGGAGATTTGAGGCCGAACCGAGGAGGCAGGAACCCAAGGCCACAGAGGGTTTGGAAAACCATGGTAAGAAATGAAAATTTTTAAAAAACCAGGATGCTGGCTGAAGAGGGAGAGGCCTCCTGCAGTGCCCACTGCCTGCCCTCCTGAGCTGGGCGATGCTCTCAGCCACCCTGGGCAGGGGTGAGGGACAAGGTTTCTAGGCCACCACGAACTCTGACTTGATGTCGGGGTTAACTTCTGGCTTCCAGACAGATTCCTCGAAGTCAAGGCCCAAGCCCGCAGCCTCGCTGGGGCTGCCGCCGCTGCCTCCGGGGCTGCTGTCGCTGCGGCCGGCCTTGCGGCTGGGCGGCCAGTGGTAGGGGCCTCGGGCATCCCTCCGGGCCTTTCTGCGGAGCCGTTTCTGCTGGAGCAGCAGCTGCAGGCGCTCCACCTTGCAGCGGGTGGCCCGGTTCTCCGTCTGCCGCAGCCGGTCCCCTGCAAAGGAAGCAACGATCGTGACCGCCCTGGGAGAGGCTGGACCCCCAGCTAATGCCCCCCCTGCATCGGGCACAGCTCAGGGCCTCCTGGACACGAGCTCCATTGAGGGAGCTGATCAAGAGTATCCAGGACTCCCGGGAGCTGCGGGTTTATTGCAACCTGTCTGAATGTCCAGCGTGCCAGCTGCGAACCCTGCGGGGGCAGGGCGGTGTCCAAGACAAGCACTCAGGACACAGTCACCACTTGCACGAACTGCAGCGTGAGCCCTTCCAGCTGCTCTGGACAGAGGAACTCAGGCTGTGGCCGTGATTTCCCCTTCGTGGCCTGGGTGGGGGTCCACGGACAGAGTGGCATCACCCACCAGTCTGCGGCACTCCAGGTTTATAGGATGAAAAGTTGGGAGACATGGGGCCACCCAGTAGGAGGGGAAGCCGGCCCCCCCCCCCTTAGGCTGACTGGGCCATTCACAGAGGCTCCACCTGCCATCTGGGGCAAGTGCCCGAGGAGGATGTGAGGAACCCACTCCTCCAAGGGAGGGCACAAGGACACTCTGTGTCCCCAACACACACTCCCTTCTCTCCAGGCCCTTCCAGAGCGGGCCGAGCGGCAGCTGGTGCCTCCCCAGCCCGACTGGGCCAGCTGCTCCGAGCCGCACACAGAGGGGCCTTGACGGGCGAGAATGGGCGGGGCGCCTCGGACACTCACCCGCGGGCTTGCCCAGGCGGGCCTGGCTCAGGGAGGCTGGGGCCGTGGCCACCAGCTTCTCACAGGAGGTAGTTTTTGGGGTGAGGTCTGAGGCGGGAGAGGCAGGTGCACACTGGGCGTGGCATCGCAGCTGGGTCAGTGACGGGGGCATGCCCTGGTAGTGCCTCGTGGCACTGAGGAGGTCATTGAGGATCTGCAGGATGGTGCCGATGTCCCGCCGAGGCCGCCCGCTGCTGTCCTGGCAATTGGGGTGCAGCGTGCCTACAGGGGGGCAGAGTGTGTTGGTGAATGCCCGAGGGATGGGATCCCGGGGCAGGAATGACACAAGGAGTCCCACCCCCGCAGGGGGATACAAAGCCTGCTGTAGGGTCTCCAGGGTGTGTGCGTGTGCCCACTGCTGGGACATACACAGAAGCATGGCACCTACCAGAGAAGGTCCCTGAGAAGACCCCTGGGGCGTGGTTCACGAAGCTCTCGATAATGGCACCAGGTTTTCGGGAACGGGAGGCGGGGCTGCCCCCAGGGGTGGATGTGGGGCTGGCCCGGGCACTGGCAGCAGGGGAACAGTCCATCTGCTGATGGAATAGGGGGACGTAAGCTTAAGGTCCGAGGAAAGGCCTTGGGGTCCAGGGTCCGGGACCACCCACCAGCCCAGGACCCAGCAATGGCCTTTGGGACATGCAGTGGGGGCTCAGAGTCCCTTCTCCACCCCCTGCGGTCAGCACGTCCTTGGGTTTGAAGGATAAGCCCTTCCCAGACTCACCTCGGGGCAGGTGGAGGGGGCTGAGTGGGAGCGGAAGGAGCCGGCTGTTACAGGTGAGGGGGATGCAGGTGCGGGGCTGGTGGGCACTGGGGGGACACGGACAGTACTGGACACTGGCCGGCAGGGAGAGGACACAGGAGTGGCCATGCTGGGGTCCCCGCGGGTGGCAGCAGTTGCGGCCGCCAGCACGTGGCGGTGCTGTAGTGGGGCGTGCTGGGCCGCAAGTTGAAGCTGGACGAACATCATGTGGTCGCCCACGCGCAGAGCCAGGGTCAGTGGGGAGCGGCCCGACAAGAAGTCACTGACCTGCAGAGAGCGGCCTGTCAGCCCCAGGGTCCCAGCCCTCGGCGCCCAGCCCGGCCCGGCCCCGGCCCCCCATGCTGTGTGACCTGGGGCCTCTCGCCGCCCCTCTCTGGGCTCTGGGGTCCCTGTCGGTGCCACGGATGCTTAAATAAAATGAATCGGTATTTCCGGAAGCCGCCTCCGCCAGCCCGGCACGGCCCGGGCGCCGCTGGGGGCTGTGGGGGGACAGAGGCAGATCAGACAGGGGGCCTGGCCCTCCTTGGCCAGCTTGGTTCTCTCAAGGGGAAACTGAGGCCGGAGGGGGCGGGGCCTAGCCAGAGGTCACTGCCCTCAAATAACCCTTACCCTGTACCTTTCCCCCACCCTCTCAACCCCCAGATTCTCTCTGCCTGTGATTACGAGACCTATCTCAGGCCCCCTCCCAGTTAAGCCACAGGGGTGGGCAGCAAGTGGGTGGAATAGCTGGACACATTCTTCACCCTAACCTTTGCTTTCTCAAGATAAATATTTATCTGTTCTGGGCGGGGCGGAGGCTGAGAGAGAGGCGTCACTGTGGGAAGGGGCCCTGACTGGTTCCCTGGAGCCAGGGTCCCCCAGGGCCTGAGCACAGCCCATGCAAACATGAACCCTTCAATTATTGGGGTCCCCCTCCACAGAGGGTGTGAGGTGCCTCTGACCCGTCTGCAGTGGAGCCTGGCTAGCACAGAACTGTCCCCAGGGGCCGGGCTGGGGTGGGTGCGGGGGGTGGGGGGGCGGTTTCTGAGAAGTGACAGAGGCTGGATGACTCAGAACAACCGCCTCCCAGCTCTCCCCTGGCAGCGGCTGGCGTAACCTTCTCTGCTTGGGGGCCTTGGGGAGGAGGCGAGGGAGGCAGGCAGGCAGAGAGAGCCCCCACGTCCCAGCCCAGCCTCATGACCCCTCCCCCCAAATGCCCCTTGCAGAAAGGGCCTGGGGTAGCTCCCAAGAGCAGCTGGGTCACCCCCCCCCCCACACACACACACACTCCCTCCCGCAACTTCCTCTCTGGGGAGGGCAGGCAGGCAGGCATGATGTGGTGCCAGGCAGGAGCAGCCCTGGGAGCCCAGTCAATTCACCCAGCCCCCTCCCTCTCTCCCTCGCAGGCACCCGTGGCGGATGTGAACCAAACACAGACCCCCCCCCCCCCGGCCCCCAACAGGGAGCTCAGTTCACATCTGCCCCAGGAAATCAGGAGACACCCGGGGCTCCTGGGACTCCTGCTCCTCCCCACCTGGCTGCCCTGATGGCAGACCACCCAGCTGCTGCTCCCCCCCCCTCTCCCACACGAGCCGGCTGGCGAGGGCAGGATGCTACATGTCGGGGAGGGGGCGAGGGCCTCAGGCAGGAGGAAGGGAAGCGGCTGAGCAGGTTTCCTGCGGCTGGCCAGCCCAGACAGGGAGGCCGAGAACCTGCCCACCCCCTCTAGGGGAGGGCAGCAGCCTGCTTCCCCCACCCTGGCAGCAGGCGGATAGCTGAGGCCTGTGTCACCCTCCTGGGAGGAGGCCCTGCCGCCAGAAAAATGAGAAAAGGAGGGGGGAAAGGCTGCAACAAAACCGGGAACCTGGGTGTGGGCCAGCCCAGGCCTCCCTCCTCATCTTCCTCCGGGCTGCTTACTAAATATTTTCCTAACATCCTGTGTTGGCCTCACTGGGTGCCTGGTTGCCCCCACCCCGCCCCGCCCCGCTCCTTCCCTCCCCTCCCTCCCCTCCCCTCCCCTTTTGGGGCAGAGAACAAAGGCCAGAAAGAGGAGGGGGAGGGGTGACTACCCACCCCTCACGATGGAAAGGCGGAAGGAGTGTCACCCAGGCCAGCCCCTCCCTCTCCCCACCAGCAGAAATTTTATAAAGGTCGCTCAGGGGAAACTTCAGTGGCCCTGGAGGGGGGGCACTCAGGGACACAGGCCCCGGGGGTGGGAGCCTGGGCTAAGGTCACCCACAGGCAGGCTTGTGAAAGCTGGGCCCCATCCCCCACGGCAGCCACCGTGGGAGAGAAGGCCCTCAAGGTCAGGTGGTGAGCTTGGGGGGGAGGAGGAAGAGGAAGCTGGGTGACCAGGCCAAGCTGGCAAGAAGGCGGAGCAGCTCAAGTCCCCTCCCCCGACCAGAAACAACCCCAGGCTCTCCAGAGGGGTAGGGCACAGAGCCTGCTAGCCCCTGGGCTGGGAGGGGCGGCACTTGAGAATCTCACCTGGGTCTCGGTTAAGCTCTCCAGGGCCTGCATCACAGACTGTTCTGGCCTTGAGGCCTGAGACTACAAAGAGAAGGAGGGGAAGAGAGCCTGAGTATGCATTCTAGGTTGGGCACCTGGGCACAGGGGCTGGGAGGGCCCTGCTAGGTGGGGGGTCGGGGGTAGGGAGCCCAGACAGGTGTGATGGGGACCACGCTGGCATGAAAGGGCGCAGCCCTCCCATGTTGGGGCCTCCTCAGCCATTTACCATGAGGCCCGCCTCCACGGTGGGCACGAGAGTCAGCTTGCTGCCATCCCCCACGCCGAACTCCTGCAGCTTCCCCGAACTGAGCCGGCTGGTGGGGCGGGGAGGGGAGGGGGAGGAAGGAAGAGGGTGAGGCTACAGCCGAGACCAGGCAGGGACGCGGAAGCAGACGCCGAGGGAGTGCTCGCGCTGGCTGGGGAGACAGAAGTCCTTCCACCCCCATCTTTCAGACCCTGGGCCCTGAAAGTGGGGGCGAGGCTCACCCTCCGGTCCTGGGACCCCTTGCTAGTGGTTCAGACCACCTTCTCTCAAGGAAACCCAACTCTGGAGTGAGGCACTGCCTTTGCACCCCAGCGAGACACTTTTTTTGTTACCCGGGCCCCATTTTGCCCTGTGACACCCTCCCAGCCACCCCGGGGCCAGCCCTGCCAGTAATTCACGAACTCCAGCCCTGGGCTCCTCTTGTGGGGCCCCCGGACGCAGCCTTCAGGGGCTCTGCCCGGCAGGGCTCCCCCTCCTCCCTCCTTCCCCGGCGCAGGCGGCCGCCGCTCAGACAAAGGAGACCCTCCCCCTCCCGCCCCTCCCCCACCGCGGCCCCTCCGCTGGGGACGGACACGGCGCGTCCCCGGAGGCCGGCGGGAGGAGGGCTTCCCAGCCCGGAGGCGATTTAAATACCGTGGGGGAGGGGAGGGGGAGGCTGCGGGGAGCGCTCGTGGCGAGAACAAAGGGGGGCAGCGAGACGCCAGTGGAAGGAGACAGCCAGACGCACGGAGGGCTGCCGAGCAGATGCGGAAGCCGGCAGAGGAGAGGGCAGGGGAAGCGACAGCAGCGGCCCCCCGACCCCCGCCGAGGGGAGCGCCGCGCTGGACCGGGGCTCCCACCGTCCCGCGAGGGGGTCGCCCGAGCCCCGCGGGAAGCACAGACGCAGCAGCCTTTGTGCAGCGACCCCAGGCGGGGGAGGGGGCCGAGGCAAGCGAGGCCGAGCAGAGGGCGCCCGAGAGCGCGCCAGTCCCCCCACCCCCGGTCTGGCCGCCCCCTTCCTCTCCCGAGCCGCGAGCTCTTTGTTCCCGTCCGGGGGCTGGGGCCACAGGGGGGCCACAGGCCGGGGGCGCGCTGCGGCAAGGGCGGCGCTCGGTACCTACGTGTCTTTGTGGAGCAGCGCCAGGCGCTCCTTGGGCACTTTGAGGCGCTGGGACAGCCGCTTGCGCAGCCCCTCCACCGTCTCGTCGGGGGACACCGACAACTCGTAGCGAGTGCCCGTCGTGCTGTGGATGGCCAGGCTCATGGACGCCGCCTCCGCCGCGGAGCCCAACTCGCAGGCGCCGCCAGGGGCTCCGCGCCGGCAGCTCCGGGCGCCGCCAGGCTGCGGCTCCATCCCCGGCCCGCGCTGGGGAGCTGGGGTCCGCGGGGCAACGCCAATCCTCGCCGCGCCTCCGGACAGGGCCGGGGCTCCCCGAACCAGGCTCCCGGGGGCACTGGGGGTGCGGGGCAGCGCGGGTCCCCTTTGAGAAGGTCCCAGGAACAAATGGCGAACCAAGAATCTCAGTGGCGCTCCCTCCGGGGTCGCTCGGCTCGTTGGGGCGCCTTCCGGGGGTGGGGACTGTACTTGCGGCTTCTTTCAAGGGCGGCGGGTGTAGACCGAGACCAGGCGGGCGCGGGGGGAGGGTCCCGGAGAGTGGGCGCCGCCGGCTGACCGCGCTCACTGCCGTCTGCCGCTCCGGCCGCGTTTCTCGGCGCGTCACCTCCCTTAGCAACAGTCGCCGCCGCCGCTCCGAGGATCTGGGGGTGAAAGTAACAAGAAAAAAAAGTTATAATGTAGCAACGTTCCAAGGGGCGGGGCCTCCGCCCCCTCCCATTCACTACTTACTCTGCCGGCCCGCGCCGGCCAATCGGCTCACACCCAAGGCCTAGTGGGCTGCGCTCGCGGGCCAATGGCTGTAGCCGCGGCGCTGCCCCACGTGGCCGCAGGGCCCGCCCCTGGTCCCGCCCCTGCTCCGGTGGCCAAGGGGAGCGCGGCGGGGGCGGAGCTGGAGCCGCCAAAGCCGGCCCCCACGCCCCCGCCCGCGCCGGGGGCCATTCATAAGGCCTGGTGCCCACAACAAAGGGCGAGCGGCCGGGGAGGACTCGGGGCCTGTTCCCGGAGCTGTGTGGCGTGAGGGCCGGCTTTGTCCCCACGCCAGCATGGGCAGGATGTCGCGTGACCCCTCCCGCGTCCGTCCGGGAAGCTACCGCGAGCGGAAGCGGGAGGCGATGCCCGCGCCTCGTGGTTGGGCCACGTTTCGGTGGCTCGCGGGAAGGTTCGACTTTGGGGCTTGAGGTCTCCACGAGCTGATGGCGAGTCCTAAATCCCGGTGACGTGGCCGGTGTCGGGGCGACCCTGGTGCTACCTCGCGTCCCACCCCAGTCTCGCGGGCTGGACTCGCTTCTCGAGTCGCACCCGCCGGAGCTGTGACGTGACGCGGCGTCCCCGGTGGGGCCCGCGCGCACCGCTCGGCTCGGGGCTGCGTGAGTCAGCAGCGCCGGCGCGCCCTCTGCCGGCCCCCATCCTGGAGCTCGGCTGGGAGTCCTGGGGAGGGGGCGCAGACTGTCCGGGGCAGAGGCAAAGCTGGCCGACTTCGGGCGCGGGGGGAGCCTCGCTAGTGTGAACCCTCTAAATTATAAAACTGAGGCTGTACACACCGGAAATCAGGCTGGAACAGCAACTAGCTCAAGGTCACTCCGGGGAGGGGGAGTGCCGGGGGTGGGTGGGGCAGGGGCCGAGGTCCCGTCCAGGGGGTACTGCTGCGCCTCGTTCCACCCATTCCGCGTCCCGTGAGGGAGTGGGTGCTTCCCAGGACTGGAGATATCCCAAATCCTGTCTGCCCCAAGAACAAAGAAAAGTGGGGCTCCTTAAAAGCCTAGAGCGGGGAACCCCTCCTCGGCCCGCGAGATCCCGCCCACAACTCACCGGGCGCGGCCGGTCCGAGGTCACAACAGTCCTTTCATGTACCTAGGTCGGGAACAAGTGCGCTGTGGAGGGGTAGGTGTGGGGCCGTACCGGCGGCCCTGAACCTTTATCCGCGCCGCCCTCCCTGGGGTGGAGTTTGGGCGGGCAGGGGTAGTGGGAGGGAACCGGGCGGGCGGTGACGCAGGCCATCCCGGCCCCTCCCAGTGGGCCGGAGCCGGGAGTGCCGCCCGGCCTGGGCCACTTGCCCCGTAAAGGACTGCGCTCCTGGAATGCCCCCGAACCCGAGGTCACGGTTGTCTAAGTCGACGACTCGGTCGCACCCCTTCTTGGGCCCCGGGTATTGGGTTTCTGGAGACACAGCCGGGCTCCCTGACATTTTTCTGCCGCTCCAAACCCTGTGCTTCCGCTTGGGGGTGCCCGCAAGGCGGAAGGCGGGGCGTGGGAAGGGGAGCCTGAGTCAGCAGCACAGTCCAGGAAAACAGGCCGGTCACCTGCCCGGAGTGGGGGTGCAGCGGCCGCACATCCCTTAACAGTGACCTCAGAGGGCATTTATGGAGCGATTAACCAGCACCTGGACTGCCTTGTGCAGCCAGTCATCACACGTCGTGGCCTCGGGAGCCTGTTTCCTGGGTGGTCATGGGGTGGTATGAGAATCCTGCAGGAGTCACCCTGGGGCCTGAGGTATAGGTCCCTCACTCAGACCCAGTGATGCTGTCATCAGTCAATAATGCATCATTCAATAATTCAATAATCCTTTGGGCTGGGCATAACCCCTCTACCCATTTCACATGTTAGGAAATAGACCACACAGGCAGGAGCATGGTATGCCATTTGGTGGCTTTGTGAGGATGGCCCTGATTGGTGGTGGGCCCTATTGGTCCTCCTGACACTTCTGCCCAGAAAGGGCCCCCAAGTTCTACTCACCCAACTCTATCCGCTTTTCTGGTTTCTCCTTTTATCTGGCATGACCATCCCGAGCTCTACACTCAGCATCACTCCCAGAGCTGTTCCTTCAGGCTCTCACACAATGCTCCTACGGCCTCTGCCCCACCCCCACCCCCAAGGTCAGTCAGGACTTTGCTGGAAGGAGTTACTGGGACTGGTGTTGAGGGATGGAGAGCAGTTTGCCACAAACACAGCATAGTTCTCCAGGAAATGGATACAACTACTGCAAAGGTCTGGAAACTTAAGTGGCTGTAGGTTGTGGAAACAGGCAGAGGGGTCCAGGGTATGGGCTCTGCTTCCAGCTTGGGAGATGGCAGAGGAAATAGTACAGCCTAGGTGGGACCACCAAGGGGTAGGGATGTTGCTACAGGGGTAGGCAGAACTCAGGCTGGTCCCTGATCTTACTGAAACCACACTGTGTGTGTGTGTGTGTGTGTGTGTGTGTGTGTGTGTGAAGGGTTGCTCTTGGGTGTGTGTGTGTGTGTGTGTGTGTAAGGCCCTGACCTTGCTCTGCAGGTCTAATTTAATAAACATGCTAATCAACTGGCTTCTCATTCCTTCCCATTAGAACACCCCTATATTTCAGCAATCATCACAGGATATAAGCACAGTTGTACCAGGGGACCCCTTTCCTGCCCCCTTAGGTCCCCAAGCCTGCCCTGTGGATGAGGTCCAGGGCAGGTCCTGCCCCAGGTCTCGGCCCTGCCAGCACCAGCTGTTCCCTCAGGGCCCATGTCAGGCAAGTCTCATGTCTCCCAGGGGAATGTACTATGGTGTCCCAGTTGCATCCTGCTGTGTCCCCCAGCTGGAGGCTGAAGTCTCTTGGGACATAAGCAGGGAGTGGATGCCGGCGCAGCATTTTTGGTGATGGACTCCCTCCTTAACCTCCCTTCTTTGATTTATAGTGCCCAACCTGGCCATGACTTTTTTTTTTCTTCTTTTTCTTTTTTAAAAAAAATATATTTTATTGAGTTTTTTTTTAACAGAGAGGAAGAGAGAGGGATAGAGAGTCAGAAACATCGATGAGAGAGAATCATCGATCAGCTGCCTCCTGTACACCCCCCACTTGGGGATTGTGCCCACAACCAAGGTACATGCCCTTGACCGGAATCAAACCTGGGGCCTTTCAGTTCGCAGGCCGATGCTCTATTCACTGAGCCAAACCAGTGTCGGCTGGCCATGAACTCTTAAGACCTTGTCTCTGAGCAGGAGATGAAGTGGTGCTGCACATGTGACTCCTGGCTATCACAGCCTTCTCAAGGCTGGGAGTTCCCTGGGAAGTAGGGGACTGCTGCTTGGGCCTCAGTTGCCTGAGAGAAAGGAGACCCAGGCATGTGCATCGGTACACATACACACACAGCGCAGGAAGATCTGGAGGCCCCACAAATATGGGACTCTCACCATGTCAAGCCTTGAACACAGCCATGTGACAGTCACTTGCATAGGACTGTGACACACTAGTGCACAGCCCATCCATATTGATGACATGCCCCAGGGTGGCCTCCCTGTGTGTCACCAGGCTCTTCCGAACACTCACCATCCTAGAATACCCTGCAAACCCAGCTAGGGTTCAGGGCTGATGGGGGTGGGGCAAGAAGACCCCTGCCTTGATGTCCTCTGCCTACCACCTGGAACCCAAGTCTGGGTCATCCCCAGGGTTACAAAATGGAGGAGACGGAGCGGCACTGTGAAGCTGTGTGCTGCCAGGGCTGCCCCTGTCTAGACACCCCACCCCATCTGGGGCTGTCCCAGGGCCTGGGGTGCCGCAGAGATGCCAACACCAACAGAAGTCAGACAGGCATCCATCCAGGGCCACCCACAGGCTGGTCCAGTACAAGGTGGGGCCTCCTTGGGAGCAGGGCCAGGAAGCCCACAGAGTGGAAATCACAGCCTGGAACCTGACTGGACCCTAGGCGTCTTGACTAGCAGCCGAGCCCTGACCAAAGAGACACAACCACCCCTCCACCCATGCCCACCTGTCCCCAGACCCCTGCCCATCACCTAGCCTGCTGTCACTAGCTGTGTTCTCCCCCTCTCCACAGAGGCTCCCCAGGACCTCTTAGGCCACAACCCCCAAACCCCTGAAGCTGAGGCCCTCCCTAACAGAGAAATGGTGTCCCAAGCCCATTGCCCTAGCAGGAGACAAAATAAGCACACACAAGTGGGGTCCCTGGTCTTTAATGGGGTGCACGCTGGGGACAAGCTGTCCAGAGGAGGCAGTAGGGAGAAGAGATTTTACAGCACGAGAGTGGAGGGCAGCAGGTCAGGTTGGTGGGGTCTTTGGAGGGGGGAGGCAAATCCCTTAGGTGACAGTCCCCCCAAGAGCAGAGCAGGTCTCTGAGCTCACCCCTGCCACCAGGCCTGGGGGAAGCTAGCAATTTGCTGCCCTGCCTCCCCCGGTGGCCTCATTGACAAGGATGGCTGCCTCCCAGAGGGGTTGGCCCCACCCTCATACTGGACCCATGAGAGCTGGTTCCAGCCCCCGTCCCACTCTGGTCTTGGTTTCCCTGCGGACACTGGCGAGGAGCGCGCACCGCCTACTCCAGAGCCTTCACCAGGGCTTCGCTGGCCTCGATTCGGATTTGGATTTCAGCCCTCGTGGCCTCGTCGGATGCCCCTGACAGCTCCGATTGTGCCTTCTCCAAGTTTGCCTTGGCTGCCTACAGTAGGTGGTGGTTAGTGAGGTCCAAACAGGGTCCCTGTCCTGGCGCCTGCCCTTCCACCCCCAAAGCCAGAAGCCCTTAGCTCGTGCCTGCTAGGTGCCTCAGTTTCCGCTGGGACACTTACCCCCAAATCCAGCATGTCCAGCGTCACAGCCTCTTCAGCCAGTAACTGAACTGATGAGTCAGCGTTCACGGTGACCGAGCCGCTGCTGACTGCGGGAGGAGAGGGGGTGAAGAGCACATCTAGGCTTAGGGGAAACCACCAGCCCCAGCACAGTGGCCCCACAAGGGCCCTGGGATCCAGCCCGGGGAATGGGCACATGGAGAGAACTCATGAGACCAGGGGCCCACCAGGGGTATCTGCTGGTGGCTGGGCTTGGGGACACAGACCCTTCCCTTCACCCGCGAGCTTGTAAGTTGAGCGGGGTCAGGTGAACAGAGGGCCGTGTTAGAATCCTGGATGGCTGGAGCTTTGGAGACTAATGCTGGTGAAGGTCTTAGAGCTGGTTTCTTTCTGCACAAGTTTCCTCTTCAAGTCAGGCCCCTTGCCAGCACACTTTTTATATTTATTTATTTATTTATTTATTTATTTACTTATTTATTTATTTTTTCACAGAGAGGAAGAGAGAGGGATAGAGAATTAGAAACATCAATGAGAGAGAATCATCAACCAGCCGCCTCTTGCACACGCCCTACTGGGGATGTGCCCGCAACCAAGATACATGCCCTTGACCAGAATCGAACCTGGGACCTTTCAGTCTTCAGGCTGACGCTCTATCCACTGAGCCAAACCGGTGTCAGCACACTTTTTATTTTTAGAGAACATTTAGTAAAGTTGGGAACAATGAAACAAAGAAGGGCCTAGGATAGAAGAAAGGACGAGGAGGGGAAACGAGGCTAAGCTGGGCTGCGTTGGCTCACTAAGACGACAGTGGAAAAAAGGGGCCTTGGGGACAGACAGGGTTAGGGTTAGCCCAGGACAAGCTGCCACTGCCCATTGCTCCCCGGTTGCAAGTCTCTGTGGGGTCTCTTAGGGTTTAGGATATACATGGCCGTGGGGGAAGAAGGGAGGGAAGGGCAAGCTGGAGGTTGCTTCTGGAAGGGAGAGCACACCCAGCCAGCACCATTTTACTTCTCTTCCCAACATCTGTCACCCTCCTTCAACCCACTACCAGCTTCTTAACCACAGCCAGTAAGAAGCTGGAAACTGCAAAAATCCTTCTGGCTTTCTTCCTATTGTGTCCTCCGAGTGCCCGCAGCACTTTTTCTTTTTCATATATATATATATATATATATATATATATATATATATATTTTTTTTTATATATATATTTTAAAGAGTGCTTTTTTATTTTATTTATTTATATTTTATTGATTTTTTTACAGAGAGGAGGAGAGAGAGATAGAGAGCTAGAAACGTCGATGAGAGAATCATCGACAGCTGCCTCTTGCACACCCCCCACCAGGGATGTGCCCGCAACCAATGTACATGCCCTTGACCGGAATCGAACCTGGGACCCTTCAGTCCGCAGACCGATGCTCTACCACTGAGCCAAACCGGTTTATGCTTCTTTTCTTTCTTTTTTGTTTGTAAAAAAATATATTTTATTAATTTTTTTACAGAGAGGAAGAGGGAGGGATAGAGAGTTAGAAACATGAGAGAGAATCATCGATCAGCTGCCTCTTGCACACCCCCTACTGGGGATGTCCCTGCAGCCAAGGTACATGCCCTTGACCAGATTCGAACCTGGGACCTTTCAGTCAGCAGGCTGACGCTCTATCCACTGAGCCAAACCGGTTTTGGCCCACAGCATTTTTTCTTGCTATACCAACTGAATTGGGGACCGATTTGCTGCAACATGCAGCCCCACTCAGCCGACCTCTGTCCTCCTGCTGGACTCACCGAAGTATTTGGTGGTGGTGCCATCCTCAGCATGGACAACAACCAGCCCCGGCCGCAGGACCTGCAGGGTGGGCACGTGGGCTGCCAGGATACCGAAGGCTCCTGTCTGTGTGGGCACATCCACCTGCCGGACGTTGGCGCCGTTGAAGAAGACCTGGAGAAGACACATGAGGAATAGGTCACTTGCAGGCCAGTCCCACTCCACCGGGATTCAGTCTCCCAAGTAGTGAAATGGGCTGGGCAGAGCTGAGTGCCAATCGGAGACACAGAAGCAGCCAGCGCTGGGGCCAAGTTGGGCCATCCTCTGTGAGAACGAAATCTAGCACCCAAGCCCTTCAGGGCTATGAGGAGGTACCTGCCAGGGAAAGGCACATAGGAGGTGCTTATCTCGGGAGAGGTGTTTGCAGCACGGGGCAATCCCGGCTGAAAGGGCAGGTCCAGCCCTTGGGCGTCGAATTCCAGGTGGATGGTCCGGGAGTTTGGGAGGTTGGGGGTGGCAGGACCCCAAACCACACGGTGAAGGGGCACGGGTCCGTGGTACGGAATAGGGGTGGGCGACCTGGGGGTTGGGGTCTCGGACTGCGGATACCGAATGGGGGTCGGCGACCTGGGGGTTGGAGAAATCGGGTTCGGAATGGGGGTTAGGAGGTTGGTGTTGGGCCGGGGTCCGGAATGGCGTCCGCACCTGTGTGGGAGAGGCGAAGGTGAAAGACATTTGTCCCGGGCCCGCGGCGGGGGCTGGGGCGGCCGCAGCCTCGGCGTAGGCGCGAGCCTGGCGCACGAGGCGACCCAGGCCGGGGCGGCGGAGCAGCGCGACGGGCAGCATAGCGGCGGCAGCAGGCAGAGGACGGTGGTCAGGCTCGGGCCGGACGCGGGCAGCCTGGAGGGCGAGGAGGACGACGCGCGGTGACGTCTGGGAGAAGGATTACTAGCCAGGGCGCACGCGCTAACTATGACTCCCGGCCGTCGAGCGCGACGTAACCTGGGACGCGCCGCTGGGTGCGCAGCATGCTGGGGGTTGTAGTTTCGTTTCGGTCCCAGCTCTCAGACTGCTGGGAGGGTGTGTGAGTGTGGGAGGAGGAGGGGGGTGCTTGTGCGTGTGTGCGTGTGTGCCGCGGGGGTGGGAGACGACGGTTACAAGGTTCTGCATGCGGAGGACCAAAAGCCTGCGCGGAGGAGAAACTTAAGTTGAATTCAAGATTTAGGGAGCGCTAATTGGATGCCAGGAGCTGAGACATTAGAGAAATACCATGATTCCACTTCTGGTGTGGGGGTCGGGGGCATTTTATAGACGTTCAACGTTAGGGGAAAACAAATAAAATGTTTAAAATGTATGTTTTTATTTATTTCAGAGTGGAAGGGAAAGGGGGAGAGAGGTAGAAACAACAGTGATAAGAGAGCATCATTGATCAGCTGCCTCCTGCACGCCCCACACTGCTGGAAACTCCGGGCATGTGCCCTTGATTGGAGTCAAACCTGGGACCCTTTGGTCCGCAGGCTGACGTCTAGCCACTGGGCCAGAGCAGCTAGGCCCTAGGGCTAAACAACTTTTTTTTTAAGGAGCAAAAGACTATGTGGGGCGGTGATGAGTCAGGCTGAAACTGAGGCAGAAATCCCAGGAACAGCATGCTCAGGCTGAGGGTCCAGTGCGAGCCAGCGCCTGGGACGCGAGCACGGCTTGGCTGCAATCCCCGCGAGCGCCACGAGACGGCGCCCCCGTCTCCGGAGATGCTGTCCTTGCGGGCCCCGCCCGGCCTTCGCCCCCGCAAGCTTGCTGACGCACTGGCGCGTGTGCGGTAGGCCGGGGGCTCCGCTGACGTCACCGCGGCCTGCGCAGCCTCGCTCTCGGCGCTGACGTCACCGCTCCGCCTCCGCGGTCACGCAGGCAGGTCCGCGAACTGGGCCGAGCCTCTAACCCCCACCTTGGGCTCTGGGAAAACGCGGAGTCCGGGCTGAACTCGAAAGGCCTTTGCTGTGGAGCTGAGGGAGACAAGACACGGATGTCACACCTGGGCCCCAGGCACCTGCTGTGGAGGCTCCCCAACCTCCGGGGTTGCATGAGTCCTAGCTTCCAGCAGGGTTCAGGCTGGCGATGTGGCTGCGCCCCTGCCTCCCAGCATCCAGGCCAAAAAAAAACCCACTCCGGGTTCTGGGGGGTGTGGGAGGTTGAGGGGAGGGGACATGTGCATTGGGAAGCCCTACTCACATGTCTGGGGGTGCAGTGCGTCATGTGTGCAGCCCTACTCCTGAAACCTGGGCCCCATAGGGAGGCCTCATCTACTTGGAAGACTTCTTTCTTTTCTTTAAAAAATATAACTTATTGATTTTTTACAGAGAGGAAGGGAGAGGGACAGAGAGCTAGAAACATTGATGAGAGAGAAACATCTACCAGCTGCCTCTTGCACACCCCCCACTGAGGATGTGCCCGCAACAAAGTTACATGCTCTTGACCGACATCGAACCTGGGGCCTTTCAGTCCACAGGCCTACACTCTATCCACTGAGCCAAACCGGTTTTGGCTGAAAGACTTTTTTTTCAATCCCTATTCTAGTAAAGACACCACTCAGGTCCTAAACCTGGGGTTATCCTGGCATACCTTAATAGACCCATTAACAAAGCCTGTCCATCAGGTTGGCCCCTGTGGCCACCATCACTCGTTTGGATGGCCCCAGCCTCCTTCCCTAACCTCACCACACACACAGCCGGGGGGACCATGTTACCCCCTACTAGGAACCACAAGATGGTTTCCCCTGCTTCCTCAAACATCTCCATCATCTGCAAACACACCTTTCCACCTCAGGACCTTTGCACATGCCATCCCTTCTCACCTGGAGCCAGCTTTTCTTGGCATTGATCTACTTGGCTGCTCCTAGCTCTCCTTTTTGTGGTGTCAACCTTACATCCAGTTAATAAGCTGTTCCCTCCTGGGTACCAGCCCTGGGGACTCAGCCCTGCTCTTGGAGCTCATCCTGTCGTGGGGGCAGGGCTGAGTAGGGCCACAACACACAGGAGCTAGTAAGGTAGAGGTCCACAGCCAGAAACCAAGTGCAGCAGGCACAGGCGTGTAAAGTGGTGGTTGCTATGTCAGCAGACAGCCAGGAAGAGAGGCATGGAGGCTTTGCTATTTGGGAAGTGTTGAAGGGGTGAGGAAGGCTGCTTGCAGCTGAGCTGGGGAAGAGGGGTCTTGCTTCCCGCCTGTGAGTGCAAATGCCTGGAGGCTGAAATGGGGCATCACCGAGAAGCAGCGTGGGCTTCCCGTGGGGAAGGGGTGTCGTGATGGGGTGTGGCTGGGATGCAGCCAGGACAGGGCGGATAGCAGATGGGTGGCCTAAGCATCTAGAAGGGATGATTTTCGGAGAGAGAAAAGGGGGCACAGTCTTCGCGTTTGCCAGGCGTGGGGGTTCTGCAGGGTAGTTGTGATGTCACTGGCGCTGGGCAGTCCCTGGTGGCCCTCCGTGCAGCTTGTGTTCTATTATCTTCGCTTGTCCCGACGAAGCAGGGCGCGCAGAGAGCCCTGACAGTGCTGCCCTCGCACGGAAACAAAGGGAGGGCAGCCGAGACCCCTGGGCTGTGTACTTTGGGGACCCCCAGCCTGGGGGAAGATAAGGAGGGTGAGCCTGTGCACCCCAGGATCCCGGGTTGGGGCGAGTCGTGCATCTCTGCACGCCCCCATCCCACCTTCCAAGACTCAGGGAGGGGTCGAGAAGTCGTGCTGCTGCAGGGCGTGGGGGCGGAGATCGGCGGCGGGAGAGGGCGGCTCCGCGTGGGGAGGGGGCCACCGGAGCGCAGGCTCCGCCCCCCGCCCGCGCCGGAAGGGAAGGGGAGGCGGTGGCCGGTGCGGACAGAGCGGAGCGCAGCGGCGAGCGCGGCGGCGGGGGCTGCCGGCCACGACCCGGCGGCACCCAGCGGGGGGGAGCGGGCTCGGAGCCAGCGCGGTCACGTGAGCGGTCCCTCCTCTCTCGCCTGCCTCCCCCGCGCACCGGGCTCTCCATTCATAAATTCTCCTCCTGCTCCTCGGCCACCGGGCGCCGGAGCCAGCGGGAGCGCCGCCGCGGAGCCGCCCGCCCGCCCGCCCGCCGCCCATGGGCCGTGCGCCCCGAGACTGAGGTAGGCACGGCGGGCCCGGGGCTGCACCGGGCGGGCGGGGGGCCGGCCGTGGCCGCGGAGCCCGGGATCGCGCTGGCTCCAGGGCCCGCCCTGGCTCAGGACCACCGTCTTCTCCCCCCGCGAGGCCCGAGGGAGGGAGCGGAGGATCGGGGCGGGCGTGGGAGCCAGCCCGCGGGGCTCTGCACCTCGCCTGTGGCGGCTTGAAGGGGGATCCTCTCCCGCGCCCGCCCCGGCCTCGATTTCCCCCTGGGAGGTCCGGGGAGGGCGAGGGCGCTTCCGCCTCCCGGCTCAGCCCGCGGTTGATGTACCTGGAGCCTCGCTCCGCCGGTCCTCCCGCGGCATCCCCGCCGCCGGGGCCGGATGTGAGCGCGGGGAGAGGCGCAGAGGCCAGCGAATTCGGGGAGCCGAGGCCCGGCTGCACCTCGGGGTCTGGCCTGGAGGAACCTCCACCCTCTGCCCCGGTTCCCGCCTACCCCCGAGAATCCACCTCTCTCCTTCCTCCGCCTCCTGCCATCTTCCCTCGTCTTGTCATGTCCATGCGTCTCCGTCCCCTCCCCCTCCGGTCTGAACTCATTTCTCAGCCTACATTCTGCGCGCCGTACCCCCAGGTGGGCGGGGGCGCCGCGGCCAGGCTGACCCGGGCGCTGAGGACACCCGGCTTCCGTCAGCACCCTCCCCTCCTCTGGGCCTCGGTTCCCCCCGCTGTGCCCGGGGATCCAAACCCCAAAGTGGCACGGGCATTCCCTTGCCTCCGGGAAGGACCGCGCGGGCGCCCAGCCGACCGCTGCTGGCCATCGGCCCCGCACTCTGTGCCCCGAGATTCCCGAGCGCGTCCGCGGCCTCCCCCAAGGGGAGGGTCAGGTGCAATGTCTGGGCGGCCCTGCTCCCGGGTGCCGGGCCCCTCCCGGGCCTCAGTTTCCCCGAGCGTAGAGACCCGCCGGCCCGCGCGGGGAGAGGCCGCTGGCGGAAGAGCCTGACCTCGGGCTGGGCACCGGGCGCGCGGGGAGCAGGCGCGCAGCAGCCATTTTGCTGCCCAGGGCCGGCTGGAGTCGCCCCTGCAGGAGGCCTCCCTCTCACGCCCCGCCCCTCCCCTCCCCAGTGCTCCCTGGCAAACTCCCCCCCCCCCCCCAGCTCAGCTTGCTCGCTCAGTCGCCATGGGAACCGAATTCTTCAGGGCTGGGAACAGATGCGCCTTTGGCCTTTTCACTCCCACTATGCTCCGTGGAAGGGGGACTCTACCTCCGGAGTCAGGACCCTGGAGACCCCGCGCTCAGCTCCTCCTTCCCGCTCCCCACGGCGGCTTACTTGTCCCCCTACCCTGGGGCCAGGCTTCTGAAGCTTCCGTCTCCGGATGGGGCAGGCAGGGCCCTGTAGTCCTTACCGGCGTGGACAAGGAGGCGGAGCTGACAGTCTCAGTGTCTCCATTCTCCCAGGATGCCTGTTCGACCCCAGGAGGCATTTGACCTCATCTTAAAGCCTGGAAGATGGCAGTCCCTGCTGGGCACTGATCTGAGCGGGTGGGAGTGGTGTGGGACCCCCGGCACACACACCTGTCTGTGAATCACTGCCCTGTGTGGGCTGCCGCTCCGACTCCCTGGCATGAGTGAGGGGGCAGATACTGGGAGCTGGAGCTGAGCAGCCCCCCTCCCCTAGGGTCCTTCTCACCTCAGAATGCAGCCCACAGCCACCATGGCCACGACTGCTACCACCGCCACCACGGCCACCCTGACCACGGCGTGGGACAACACCACAGGCCGCCCCACGGTGAGTGAGGGGGCTGGCAAGGAGAGGTGGACAGGTCTGGCCCGCCAGAGTCCAGGTAGGACCTGACCGCTGCTCCCCCACAGGCGGAGCCTGACCCCGTCTTGGACAACTACATGCTGGTGGTGGTGGTGATGTCGCTCTTTGTTGGGGGAACCCTCGTGGTGCTGTCTGGCGTGTTGCTGCTCTGCAGGCGCTGCTGGGAAGTCCACCAGGGCTTCAACAGGTTTGTGCCAATCAACCTGCTGCTTTCCGGGGGACCCCGGGGGGGTCCTGGGGCCAGGCAAGTGCATCTGACAGCCGGCTAGTGGGGAGCAGGGGCGCCATACCCGTGCAGGGACCCGGCCCCGGCAGGAGGGCTCCGTAAGCTTAGGACGCTGCCCGTGAGCATGAGCCCTGCAGGGACCCTGGCCACCTTGCTCTCCTGTTGTCTCGCCCCAGAGCCACGGAGGAGGCAGAGAAGACCACCACCACCTACCTGGACACCAGCACCCACCCAGCCCAAGGTGAGGTGCTGCCCAGGCCCCAGCCCTGCCCAGGCCCCGCCCCCTGTCCACTCCGGGGCCTTCCCTCTCAGGCCTCCTGACCTTCTGTGTCTGTCTGTCTCCCCCACCAGACTGGGCGAAGCTCGATTCCGACTCATCTCTGTTTCCTTAAAGCCCACGCGTAGGTGCTCACAGGCGCGTGCTGAGCGAGTGAGTGTGTGAGCGGATGAGCGAGTGCCCGCCCACCTCCCTGTCCATCCCCGGTGGTCAGTTGGGCCCCCTCGCTCCCTGCCCGTCCCGCCCACAGCCTGCCGGCACCAGGTGCCGCCCACCCTCTCTTGGCTCTCCTCGCAGACCCCGAACTGAGGGGGGAGGACCCCGAGGGCCTGGACGCGGAGACCGAGCGCTTCCTGTCCACCAGCTCTACCGGCCGCCGCGTGTCCTTCAACGAGGCCGCTCTGTTCGAGCAGAGCCGGAAGGCGCAGGACAAGGGCCGGCGGTAAGGGGAACAGCACCCTCAGGGCTGGCGCAGAGCCTCAGTGCTGAGCTGGCGGTCATCCATGCTGTGCTCTCCCCAGGCCCAGCAGGGTGGACGGTGGGGCCACAGAACAGCAGACTGCAGGCTGGGGATCCCTGGCCTGTGTGGGGTGGGGCTGAGCACAGGATGGGCTGCTCTGTGGTTGGCACAGAGCAATCTGTGGGTGTGCTTGGCACAGGTACACCCTGACGGAAGGGGACTTCCACCACCTGAAGAATGCCCGCCTCACCCACCTGCACCTGCCGCCCCTCAAGATCGTCACCATCCACGAATGCGACTCCAGCGAAGCCAGTGCAGCGGCCCTGCCTCCCCCCTCAGTGCCTCCCAAGGCCAGCCTCGCCATATTCCAGGTGAGCACGGAGGGGTTGGCAACCAGACTTGGACTTGGCGGGAGGGATTGCTACCCTCCCCTGGCAGGTGGCGCCTTTCCCACTCTCCGGGCCGACCCCCTTATCTCAGGACGGGGAGTGGGGCTGGCTGGATGCAGAGAGGGTGGCTGGGCCCAGCACATCCCCTCGCCCACCAGTGCTCTTTGACCTGTCACTGCTTCCTCCTCCACCCGGCTCTGTCCCACAGCCCCCGGGGAAGGCCCTCACTGGCCGCTCCGTGGGCCCCAGCTCCGCCTTGCCAGGTGACCCCTACAACCCTTCCACGGGCCCTGCTGACTTCGAGATCAGCTCCTCCTCATCCAGTGACTCCGGGGAAGGCACCTCGGTGAGGGCTCCCATGTGTCCCTTGTCTCTCCCCGTCCTGTTTCAGGACAGGCCCGCCTGTGGCCTCCCACCTCCACAGCTCTCCTCGCCCGGCCTGGTCCCTGAATGGGCCACAGCACACAGTGGGCTCCTGTGAACTGGGGAAGCTGCCCATGGGCATGAACCCTGCGGGGTGGGTAGTACACAGGGCATGTGCACAGCCATTTCGAACATGAGTATGCTCACACATGCACAAGGCACTCAGGCGGCTGGACAGGGTGTGGTCAGGACCCAACCTAAGCCCCAGGGTACACACTCCCAGGCATTTCTCGGACCCCCTCTGTCCAGGGCTGGGGAGGACAGAGCTGGCCAGCACCTGGCTGAGCTTCTGGGGAACTTTTGGGCAGCATCAGGTGGGAGGAAAGAGCTCCCTGCTTCCCCTTGGTACTTACTTAGCCTGGGCTGAATGGCAGGTGGGGAACAGTGGGGAAGGGGCCGCCTGAGAGCGTCCCTCTTCCCTTCTAGATGGACGCGGCTGCCAGGAGCACCAAGCCTGGTGGGCTGGGGACCTCCGCAGGGCCCCGGGAGGCAGGCCCAGGCTCTGGGGCAGGCCCAGTCCTGCAGTTCTTCACCCGCCTGAGGCGCCATGCCAGTTTGGATGGGGCCAGCCCCTACTTCAAGGTCAAAAAATGGAAGCTGGAGCCCAGCCAGCGGGCATCAAGTCTGGACACGAGAGGTGAGCTGTGGCCCCTGGTGGGGAGTAAGGGCCAGGCACTCTGCCTCAGGCAGCCACAGAGTGGGAGGCTCAGAACCCAGGGTGGGATCTCTGCTCCCGAGAGGGGTCTCCATTTCCTGCCCCAATAGATGCCCTGTCCAAGGTCTCAGAGTTGGTCAGGAGGGGGCCCGGGGCCAGGCACTGAGCTTCTCTGGGGCCCCAGATGGTAGTGTTTTTGGATTTGCAGTCAATCTGTCTGTCTACGTTGGTGGTGGGCAAGCAGCAGTAAATGGCATGGAAATGAATGTGGCTGTGTGCCAATGAAACTTACGTATGGCCCTGGCTGTTGTCTCTCAGTTGTCTCTCGGCCTGAGACTGAAAGGTAGTGGGTTCAATTCCCTGTCAAGGGCATGTTGCAGGTTGTTCCCTGGTCCCGGTTGGGGTGCTTTCAGGAGGTAACCAATCGATGTGTCTTTCTCACATGGATGTGTATGAGCGTGTCTTTACCACTCCCTCCTCCCTCCCGCTTTCTTTAAAATATCAATGGAAAATATATCCTCGGGTGAGGAGGATTAGCAAAAAAACCCAAAACTTATTTACAACAGGTAGGGGGCCCCATTGGCCACCCCGTTAATCCTGCAGACCCAGAGGCATGTGGGGTCCGGGATGTAGGGCTTCTTTACCGTCAATCCAAGGCAGGGTTGATGGGCATGGGGAGAGGGACACCCACATAGAGCCCAGCCCTGCTCAGAGGAACTTAGTGGGCCAGGCCGGGCCAGGCGTGTGCCTGCTGCCTGTGGAGGAGGTGGGAGAGGGACACACAGTGTCAGAGCGCGAAGCTGCGAGGCCAGGGACAGTGCCAGCCTCCTTGTGGGGGCCTGGCTCCAGCCAACATCAGAGAGGGATGGTGAGTTCTGGCCTAGCTATCTTGCCACCCTGTTGGGAGCCCAGAGGCATTCTGTGACTCCTGAGGGTGACTCTAGTCAAATGCAGGTGCAGAACCACCCAGAACCTAGCTACTTGCTAGGTGACTATCCTCCCCACCCCCGTGACTTTACCACGGAAGCTTCTTCCAGGCCTCCGTGGTGGGAGGGTGGCCCATGGGGCAGGGGTGAGGCTGGCAGGAGAGGGCTTCCCCTCTCCCCTCATCCCCCCGAACCTGTGCTTTACAATCCACTCCTTCCCACATCTGTGTTTTAGCCCAGCTGTGCCTGCCACCACGTGACCAGTTAAAACCCCCGCTGTAGCCACACCTGTCTTCCCTGGATGCTCGGGGAACTGCTGCCAGCCTTGGCAAAACTCACACCTGCACGGCAGGGTGCCTTCAAGCCCGGGGGTGGGGGCGGGGTGCAGTGCTGGGCGGGGCCAGGCAGGCTGATGTGCCTCCCTCTGCACAGGCTCCCCCAAGCGGCACCACTTCCAGCGGCAGCGAGCAGCCAGCGAGAGCATGGAGCAGGAGGAGGGGGACACCCCTCACATGGACTTCATCCAGTACATTGCCAGCACAGGCGCTGCTATGGCCTTCCCGCCCCCCTGCCCCTTTCTGGCCAGCCCCACCAGCCCGTCCCCCGCTCTCGGCAGGTATTTTTCAGTAGATAAAAGCGCTAGGGGTGCGCCTGTGGGCCCCTGCCCCACCTAGTCACCCATTGGTAGCTAGGTGACTACCCTGTCTGCAGGGCAGATGGGCAGTCCGTTTCCTCTGCCCCTGGGGCCCCCTCTCCAGCAGGGACTGTGGGCTGGAGGAGGGGAGCAGGGGGAGACTGGGTAAGGGCCCAGGGGAAGGTCCCCAGGACTAAATGCCGACTCAGGCAGGGCTTCTGAGAGTTCCCAGTGGAGTTCTCAGCCTGAGGGGCCCCTCTCCCACCTGCTCAGGTTTCTTCTCAAAAATCTGCCCTGACCACATCTTCCAGCAGGGCCCCACCTCCACACACAGCCCCAGGGCAGATCCCTTCTGACTGTGAACTGTCCTCCATTTCTTATCAACCCAAGATTGTGGGAGGGTGCTAAGTGGCATATCCAGTCACCCAGAGGTAGGGGACCTCCACCTGCTTAGTCCCACCCCACTGCCCGGAATTAAGATGTTAGGAAGAAGGTGGCTTGGAGGAAGGCATCACTCTGGGTGAGGAGCCAACCACCTGCAGTGCCCACAGGTGTTTAGGTCACACTGTATATAAGACACCATGCTTGAAAATCAGGTTCCAGGAGAGCTCAGGGTTTATCCTAAAAGCATCCCCCTGCAAAGGAGACAGCATTTTAAAAAAACTCAGCTTCTACAGAGCCTGGCCAAGGTGGAGAGTCCCCCTCCATGCCCACCCTCCCTGACTGAACAGGGTGGCTGGGGAAGGCATGGGGGAGCCCTCTGACTGTTGCGCCCGGCCTTGCAGGCTAGAGGTGGAGGAGGAGGCAGGCGCCGCAGGAGGAGTGAACCCCGAGCCCCCCTGGGAGCGCAGCATAGGTGGTGCGGGGCCTGACCAGCAGCAGGAATCGGACAGTGAGCGGGATGCGGGGCTGGAGCACACTCAGACCATCTACCGAGACATCTGGAGTCTCCGCGCCTCACTCGAGCTGCATGCGGCCACCGCCTCGGACCACAGCAGCAATGACCGCGACTCCGTGCGCAGCGGCGACAGCTCCGGCTCGGGGGGCACGGCGCCCGCCTTCCCCCCGCCCTCCCCGCCCCCCACGCTACGGCCCTCGGACGGAGAGGTGGGGGGGCCGCGCAAGCTGCTGCAGATGGACAGTGGCTACGCCAGCATCGAGGGGCGCAGCACGGGGGACGATGGGCCTCCCAGTGGGCCCGACAAGCACGCCTTTCCCAGTGTGGGCCACACAGCCACCGTGGGGGGCAGCTTCGAAGGGACACCGGCGGAGGAGTTCGCCTGGCCGCGCAGCCCGCGGGCCTGGCCCCGCCGCACGCCGCGCCGGGACTACAGCGTGGACGAGAAGACGGACGCGCTCTTCCACGAGTTCCTGCGCCACGACCCGCACTTCGACGACGCCCCGCCCAGCACCGCCCGCCACCGAGCTCGCGCGCACCCGCACACCCACATACGCAAGCAGTGGCAGCAGCGGGGCCGGCAGCACAGCGACCCCGGCGAGCGCACCATGCCCTCCGCAACACCTGGACCCGAGCCCCGCCCCGCACGTGCGCCTCTGCGCCGTGGGGACAGTGTCGACTGCCCGACCGACGGTCGTGCAGGTGAAGACCCAGCCGGCCCTCCGGCGCCCACCATCCCTGCCATCGAAGAGGAGCCCGGCAGCGGCGGGTGCCCAGGATCAAGCCTGTGCCCCCAACCCTCAGGGGCACTGCTGGACAAGCTGGCAACTGGCCTCGAGGACAGACTCTTATTGCCACACCTCACCCAGCCCATTGACGCAGCCCCCACGCTGGCCACTGCTGCCGCAGCGCCCACGTCCCCAGACCACAGTCCGGCCTAAGCCCCTCGCCCCATTCTCCTTTCCCATTGCGTGCGCAAGGCCTCTCCCGCCGGTCCTACCACCGGCGCGAGGACCCGATGCGTGTGCGCCGAGACCACGGGTTCTAAGGCACAGGCGTACTGCCCCCGGCTCCACGCTGCCTCAGTGCGCCTGTGCACAGCTCTCTCCTCCAGTCACTAAGCTGGGTTCCCGTGTCATTCCAAGGCACGAGCATCCTGGCTTATCTGGAGAAAGCCAGGCGTATTCTAATCTTCGTGCTCCTGAGGAACATTCGTGCGTCCTTACCCGATATCAACTCCGGATGGTGGTAGGGCTTTCGTTGGAGGGACAGGTCTTGTCTGCGTCCAAGAGAGACAGTGCAGCTGGACTGTGTGAGGCGCATGTGCAGAGCGCCCCTTCCAGGGCCAACTGAGCTTCTAGGTATATTTGGTGTGCAGCTGCAGAGTCCATGCCAGGGCGCATGCGTCAAGCCCGCCGGAACATGGACTTCAGGTTGCTGAGGACGGGTGAGGAGTGCACTGGCATGGCTGCCAATTCCTCAAAGCCGTTACCTCACTGGGGCCTGTGTTCCCTGAGTTCACTGCAGTCCAAGCCTCCTCCAAGCAATAACCACACCCTGCTGCTGCCCCCAGCCTGGAAGACTCCTCCCTCTGCCCTCCCCTGGGGGTCTGCAACTGCCCTCCGCATGTGAGGGGCCTGCCAGCCCCACAGCCACACGTCCAAAGAGCCCCAAGACTCACCAGTGTTTAAGACTTACACAAAACCCAATCGGCCAAGATTTCAAGTTTCCCAAGCTTTATTTATTGCCAAAAGATGGGGCAGCTGAGCCACCCCGCCCCATCCCTCAAAGCTTCCTGCAGTCTGTGTACCATACAGTGATGGAGTTTCTGTTGTTTTAATGGTTGATTATAAATATTTACTGCATACTCTTGCTTGCTCTGGGTTTTCTCTGGGAATCTAGGTTCAGAGGCCTTGGGGGAAAGGGCCAAGGCCTGCAGTCACACTTGGCTCAGCACTGTAGGAGCTGAGCCAAAGGGTGTGTTGCACTTTGGAGAGCACAAAGGGCCAGTGTGGTCAGAGGCAGGCCCCAGGGGATGCCCACAGGCTGCAAGACCTGAGACGAAGGCCAGCCCATGCACTCTAGGGTCCACAGAGAGGCCCAGGTATAGACTCAAGATAATCCACCTGATGGCACGTCCTGCCACCCAACAATTCCCAAACACCCCTCACAACCACAGCTCAAATCGACCTGTTTTATTTTTTCTTAAAAAAAAAAAAAAAAAGAACCAACCAAACAACAAAAAGGCAGCCACCTGGCTCCCACGGGCACTGGGCATGCGTCTCAGTGGGCAGGCCCGTCAACCCCTGATGGGCTGCAGTTTGTTTGAACACATCACTAGGTACGGGAGGTGCTAACATGTAGCAAAGTAAAGAAAAGTCGGTGAGAACCAGTAGTCTAAACGTAAAGTGCACGGCGAGGTCTGTGCAGGGCCCGCGGCCTGGCCTCACCCTCCCTTGGCCAGGAAAGGGGCCTAGCACAGGATTGCAAAGGTAACAGGAGGTTGTATCCACTGCCCACGATGGGGAGGGGGAACAGACCCAGTCTCTGCTGTCCCCAGCAACAGCCCTCCAGAGCTTCCCCTCAGCTTCCCGAGGGACAGTCAGCACGAAGGGTGTGGCGGTGGCCTTCCTGTGTGGTCAGCAGTCGTTGGGAAGACGGAAGAGGACCTGGGTCATGGCACACGGCCAGGGCTCTCCGAGACGGGCTGCAGATGGACGGAAGGTGTATCAATCCCAGGTCAGCAATGTGCTCTGCATCCCAGGGGCATCCCACCCTGAGCACTGTGGGGCAGGAAAACTGAGGCCGTCCCAGGAGCCGTCAGATACCTGGAGGTCAGGAAAAGCTCTGCTGACTCGAGGGGCCACCCTGTGAGCCACTCATTGCTCAATGGGGTTCAGCAGGGCCTTAGAGGCCCTTTGGCTGGGGAGGGGCAGCTGCTGCCTCAGGCTCATACACCACTGCCCACATCCTGGGCAGGTGACAGGGTATTGACCACTTCTGGGGCCTACTCCCCACTTCCTGGACTGGGGCAGCCGGGGATATGAGGAGGGAGCAGAGACTAGAATTATGGTCTCAGCTAGACCCCAACCACTCCCAACACCACTATTCTAGGAACAGCCTGGGACTGGGGTGGGGCAAGCTCCTCACCAGAAACCCAGCTTCCCTCCTACACAAGGGCTCCACCTCCTGAGTGACCTCTGGCCCTGACCCTGGTGGCAGTGATCAGACTGACAGGATTACGAAGGGCAAAACTGGCCATAGTCAGCATGTCCATGAGGATGATTTGGCTGTTTGGGCAATGACCACTCCCACCCACTCCCGCCATCCCTGCTGCAGCCCACCTATGGCCGACTGCCTCACTGCTGCTTGCAGGCTGACAGCCGACGGATCTTGCCGCTAGTAGAACAGGCCTTGCGGGCAGGGTTGGAGGCAGCACTGGCCCGGCGCTCTGCCCTCGATCTGGTGCTTAGCTGCACTGAATCGGTGCCATTCATGCACATGCTCTTGGGCAGGCCCCGGCTCTGTCCATTCTGACTGGCCTCCTCTTCCGGGACTTGTCCTAGGAGGAGAGGGCAAGTGTGGGCTGATGGGGACCCAAGCGAACACCCCTCCCACACACAGCCGCCCCGTTTCCCACCCCCTTGCCCCACACGACCCCTGTCCTACCTGCAGGGGCTCTCACCCTGGTAGAGGGAAAGCTGGCTAGCTGGCCAGGACACTTGGTGAAGGACCAAGGTTGTGGGACCAGTACCGGTGCGGGCTTCAGCCCTCTCACCTGTTTGTAGGCTACACCTTGCTGGGCTGGGCTGGCCTGTGGGACTTGGAGGGGCAGGGCTCAGGCTGGGTGTGTCTCTCCCAGAATAGCCCACTGGGATGGAGGGATCAGTGCCAGGGACCTACCATGGTATGGCCCCACCCTCACCCTCAATGCATCCTGGCGGCCATTTGCCTAGGACTTCAGGCCCACTTGCACTCCTGTGCTCACTGAGGCAGAGAAGAGCATGCACGGAGGGGCCCACGAAGCTCAGTCAGTGCACACCAAAACCTGGCTTGCTGCCTGAGACCTGCCCTCCTGTGACATTGGTGGGAAACTAACCTCATCTGCCTGGAGCCCCCATCTCCTCTCCAACACAGAGCCCCCTCTCTGCCCAGGATGTCCAGGGCCCGACTCACGGCTTCAGGAACTTGCCACACCCACTCGTGTGTGCCCAGGTCAGAGATCATTCCTGCTCACAGGATCCTACTAGACAGAGTACGTAGGGGGTCTCAGCCATCAGCACAGCATCTGAGACCTGCCCCACTCACCCTCCAGGCACTGTGCCCGAACTGACCAGACCCAAGGGCCAGCTCTCAGGGTGGATGCAGGACCTCCATAGTGGGGAGAGATGAGAGCCTCTGAGGGTGACCAACCGACTAGGACCAGAGTGGGAGAAGTGGATGCTCAACTTTGGAAATGGACTGTCCCACTTCTGGCATGGAGGTCATTCCTGGGCGGGGGATCCCCACCAGGGAAAGGCCACTCTGACCTCACACTGGCCCAAAGGGTACTTGGAACCCGGATCTGGGGACCTGTCAGGACCCTCACTCAGCCTTGCTAGGACAATAGGCTGCCTGTTGGTGAGGGTGACACCAGGTGCTTGTCACCTGTCATGGGCCCCAATGTCCCTGAGATGCAGGACACCTTGCTCCTGTTTTGAGAAGGGGACAGAGGCTCCAGGAGGCCTCAGATCCAGGACTGGAATGTGGCCTGGTCTCCCAGGACAAGGTTCCTATAGGGAAATGGCTAAGCCAAAGCCACAGTGACTTGGGATCCTAGGAGCACCATCCCCAAGCTGACCCTGTGGCCACAGACCCCAGGACAGCAGGACTCCTGGACCCTGCCCAGCTCTGCCAAGGACATCCCTCCTGAGGCCCCACCCAACTCACAGGCCACCGCTGCATCATGGTTCTCTCTACAATAAAAACCTACCACACAGCTGACGAGCCAGGGAGGGAGACAAGCATCACCCACACATAAGCGTTGGGCAAACCTTTATGATGGGGCCTACAAACCAGCCAGAAAGGGGAACAGCACTATGAATGCTGCGAGGGGACACATCTGGCAACAGGGACAGCTGCCCAGGCTTTCTCAGACACCGGACAGGGTCAGTGAAGGCTTGTGGAGGACGCACAGTCTGGCCCCTACAGCCCCGGTGGGCAGGGTGGCTATGCTAACGCAGGGAGCTCCTCCTCAGCTCCTGTGCGCCCCCGGCCTCAGCTTCCTCTGAAGAAAGGTGTGTGTACTGGCTCTGCTGGGTGCCTTGCTCCTCTCTAAGCCCTGCCTCAGACGCCTCCTCGTCACCTGGGGAAGCAAGGTCAGGGTCGTTGTCAGGGCCGAGAGGGCCACTAGACCCTCAGGGCTGTCAGAGGCCTCCCCCATTACTCGACAGGACACGGTGTGCAGTCTGTAGAACTAATGCAGAGGGAGCCTGAGCAGCCTCTTCCCTCTGGATCCCACCTGCTTCCATGGCTGTCTGGGAGCCCCAGCAGGCCCTTGGGGTCTGTGCTGATGCAGATGGACCTGCCCTGAGGGCTTGGGGACATTGGGAACATCCAGAATGGCAGAGAGCCACTGCAACTGCCAGACTCACCAGGCACAGTGAAGTCCTGAGTATAGATGATGTCGTCCTCAATGTCAAAGAGGTCCTCCTCCCCGTCGTCGTCAGCACAGCCGTGAAGGTCCTCCAGGTAGGGCACCACAGTCATGCCGCGCCACCGGTCCTTGCAGTCCGAGCTTGGTGGGATGGGCACCAGCTCCTCAGCCAGCGGGTGCTTCTTCCGGAACCAGCTACAGAAGCAAGCACATGAGGACAGCCTGGAGCACCCAGATCCCCATGAGGGCCCCGCCCAGCCAGACACCTGAGGACACTCACCTGTGCTGCCTGATCTGTTGTATGGAAAACCTCTTGGCTGGCTCATATTCCAGCATCCCTGAGGAGGGGACCACGGGGGAGTCAGCATGGGCCCCTGCCCAGCTCTACCCCACCCACCTGGTGCTCTCTAGTGGTGCTGGGCCTGTAACTATGGGGACATGGCACTTGAAAATCCAGGGCCCTGTCCTATGGGGATTTGAAGAGCAATTCAGGCCCCAAGGCCCCATGTAGCCACCTGTGGAAAACTGCAAAACCATAAGCAGTGTGGCTGGAAAGATAAGGAGGGGAAATGGCTTTCCAAAATGAGACCAGAGCAGGCCAGACAGGACGCAGGCCCAGCCCACAGGTGTTGGACCTGTTGTCCACACACTTGGGAATGAGGAAGCAATGGAAGCCCTCTGCCAGCAGCCAGCCATCAACAGCCATCGCATCCGGTGGCCCACAATTCCAGCCAGGAGCCCATGACCCCTGAGATGGCAGCAAGGGCAAGACCTGGGGGCAAGTCCCATACTAGGACAATGACATGGAAAGGACAACACTGGCTCAAGGCCCACCACCAGAGTGGCAGCCGCAGGAGACCCTAGAGCCTTCAGTTTCTGCTGCTCCCAACCCTCACTCTGTGTCTCCGGCTCCCTTCCCAGTGGGAGGACAGTCATGCCTCCTGAACAAGATGCAGAGGAGGTGATGGGGAGCAGAGCTAAGCTCTGAACACCACTGGAGGGAGGGCAACTTTGTACTCAGGAAATAGCAGCAATTTTGGAAGCTAAGGTTCAGAATTAAAAATCTGAGTGGTGTGGGGAGGAAGAGAGGTAAAATCGTGGTGGCCAGCTGAGAGGCCCCCGCCAGCATCTGCTTCCGTCCCTGTCCCCAGATCTCCACACCTGGGCACAACTGTCCCTTCCCATCATGCCTGGGGGTTCTGAGACACTTGAACTCAAGGCCAGGGTGGCTATAGAACTCACAGGGACACCTCCCACCTATCCCAGCTGATGGGCAGCGCCTCTAGGCCAACCATTCAGCTGTGCAATGACCCTAACTGCAGCGCAGGGGAGGCACAGCCCACGTGCCCCAGCTGGCAGAGAAAATAAGGGGCCTATCCTGCCAGCATCTGGGGACAAGGATGTCCTCTGCCATGTCATCACCCCACATGGTGCCATTTCAGGCATCAACAAGGGTACAATGGGCACAAGGACATGTAGAGAAAACACAAATGACTGACGCCTATCCAGAGAAGGTGAGCCCACAACACCTGACCCTTAGCAGAGCTGAAACCACCAAGCATAGAAAAGCCTTGTGGGGGGAGGTTGAGGGCCAAGCTCGGGTCCACCTGAGGACGGGTGCTAACTCCCTAACCATCCCACCAAGGTCTATAGGAGCCTATGGGCTTTTGGGAGTGCTCAGAGGGCTAGGAAGAAGGAAAAGGCCAGGCCAACCTTGACCTAGGGGTCCCTTTAAGCCAGCAGTGGAACAGGTGGGCTGCTTCCTAACTGCTCACTCCTTCCCTGTTCCAAGAGTAATCCGGGCTGCACCCCAAAGTCCTGGGGTGGCAGGTGGACCTATGCTCAGCAACGGAAGCCCAACTCCACCTTCGATGTACTAAATGAACTTATATGTAAGAACCAGCTTGACTCAGTTACTAGGAAACTGAAGTATATTTGGGGCAGCTGGGAACATGACTCGATCTTTCCAGCTGTGCCTTATGCAAAGTCTAGATATTGACTGAACATCCAATGAGGACAGGGTATAAGGTCAGCCACACACCAGAGCATAAAGACTAAAAGCAGAAAGAGAACATGAGATGGTAGTGCACTGATGAATCTTACACACCAGCTGGGTGTGCAACATCTTCATAAACTGTCTCATCCCAACTCACTACCTGTCACACTCAGGCTGCCAACTAGGGCTTCCACCGGCCTGTCCTCAACTTGCCAGCCCTGTGTGGACTCACAGCGCCACCTGCTGCACTGACTGGGAAATGCAGGACAGTGTGGCCCTGCAGGCAGTAAGTACTATTTCCTTGGGGGTTGGGTGTAGGAGTCAGAGCAGGCAGTGGAGCAAAAGGCTCAGCTTCCAGGGGGTCAGCCTTCTGGACACAGCCATTCTCCATGCCCGTGCCCTCTATGCTTCCTGGAGAACGGTGCTCCCACCCACCCTCGACAGACCCACATCCTGCCCCCCGAGGGCCTCACCTTTCAGCAGGTCCGAGAGTGGGGGGCCGCAGTCGCCTGGGATCGTGTAGTCCCCCTTCCCGATGTTCTCAAACAACTTGTAGATGTTGTCCCCTTCGAAGGGGTACAGGCCTGTCGTGATGTTGTAGCTTCGCCCCCGAGCGGAAGGACAGAGGCCCAGTCAGTTGGGGCTTGTCCTGCAGCTCTGGCCCGAAACCTGTGTGGCACAGGAGCCTCAAACCACCCCCACATATAGGGCCCAATATTGGGGGGGGGGGGGGGCAGGAATGATTTGGAATAAAGGGTGGTGGCTGCACCACTGAAAACACTGGAAACTGCTGAATTGTACACTTTAAAGTGTGGGTCACATGGTATGTGAATGCTCTCTCAATGAAATACAAACGCCCAGCTGGCGGCTGCCCTATGGCAGACATAGATGGAAGGTTCTCAATGGGGGGTAGGAGGGGAGCTATGCCCAAGCATCTGCAGCATAAGTGCCACTTCAAGAGTGAACAGGGTCCCAGAGAACTCTGATAGGCCAATCAGCACGGTTATTCAAAAGTGCTCAGGGACATGCCTTAGGCCAGCAGACCAAAGCAGCAGAATGGGGCATGGGGATGGGGAGCATACAGCGGTTGGCCAAGCAACACTGTCAACTTGCCACGCCTGAAAATTCTCAGTATAAAGCATTAGGACATAAGGTACCCACAAGATGAATATGGCCAGTTGTCAACCAGTGGGAATAAAGCCAAATGGGGCCCCTGATAACTGAAGGGAACACAGCCCTCATTCCCACCCACAGGGGCTGGTTCCAGAAGCCCGGACCCAAAGCAAGGGTGGGTGAAAACGGGGGCCCATAGTCCACAGGCACTTACAGTGTAACCCCAGCCGACCAGATGTCCACCTTGAAGCCGGAGAAGGTGTCCAAGCCATTGGCAATCTCAGGCGGCTGGAATGCTGGGGAACCCTGGCTCGTCCTGCATGTGTCATCCTCAGCGAAAGGGTGCAGGGCCTGTGACAGAGCCAGGCGGCCTCAGGAAGTGGTTCCGGGGAGCACCCGGCCCTCACCCTGGTCCTGGGGTCCTACCTCGGCCACACCCAGGTCAGAGATCTTGAGCGTGCCACTGGTGGTGAGCAGCAGGTTGCCCGGCTTGATGTCCTTATGCACAATGCCCTGGCTGTGCAGGTACTCCAGGCCATCCACCAACTGGCAGAAGTACCTACAGGACACAATGGCCTCCTGGGGTCACCCAGCAAAACCATAAACAGGAGGCAACAGCTCGAGAGCCACCAGGGGGAGCAAACAAAGAAACGACAGTTCAGGAGGTCCCTCAGGGAAACATGGCTCTCAGGTAGGGCGGAGCCACTGCTAGGACCCTGAGGGCTTTAGTCACTCCTTCCCAAGGCACCTGAGGGGGCACAGAAGGGCTCCTCCCTGGCTTCCCACCTCCCTCTCTCAATCAGACAACCCTTCCTTTCATATATACTGAGTGGCCAGATTATGATGATCTCTGAATGCATAATAATCTGGCCACTACGTGTATATCCTATATAATAAGAAGCAAATATGCAAATTGTCCCCTCGACCAGGAGTTTGATGAGCAGGCAGGCTGGCCAACCGCCCATGTCCTTTCTCACTGGCGAGGCTGGCCGGACCTCACCCATGCATAAATTCATGCACTGGGCCTCTAATATATATATATATATATATATATATATATATATATATATATATATATATATATATAATATATATATAATATATATTATATATATATAATATATATATAGCGCCTGCGTACACACACACACACACACACAACCCAAGTGGCCAGATTATTATGCGTTCAGAGATCATAATAATCTGACCACTCAGTATACACACACACACACACACACACACACAGGCCCTGTGCATGAATTCGTGCACAGGTGAGGTATGGCTGGCCTGCCCAATTAGGGTCAATCAACCGCTGGCCAGGGGGAGGGGCCATGGTGGGTTGGCCAACTGGCCCCACCCGCAATGCAGGAGGGAGGGCTGATTGGGGGCAGGGCTAGTGGGGGGTGGGGAGGGGCCATGGTGGGTTGGCCAGCTGCCCCTGCCCCCTGGTTGAACTCCCAGTCAAGGAGACAATTTGCATATTAGCCTTTTATTATATAGGATATATATACTTTTTTTAAAAAATTGACTTCAGCTGAAACCAGTTTGGCTCAGTGGATAGAGCAACAGTCTGTGGACTGAAAGGTCCCAGGTTCGATTCCGGTCAAGGGCATGTTCCTTGGTTGCGGGCACATCCCCAGTAGGGGGTCTCCAGGAGGCAGCTGATCGATGATTCTCTCTCATCGATGTTTCTAACTCTATCTCTCTCCTTTCCTCTCTGTAAAAAAATCAATAAAATATATTTTAATAAAAGTTTGCCTGTATTACTTATATAAAAAAACACCCGACTTCAGAGAGGAAGGGAGAAGATAGAAACATCAAAGATGAGAATCATTGATCAGCTGCCTCCCACCTGCCCCCTACTGGGGATCAAGCTACAACCCAGGCATCTGCCCTGACCCACAATCAAACTGTGACTTCCTGGTCCACTGGTTGACACACAACCTCTGAGCCTCCCCAGCTGGGCCAGGTAGCCCTTCCTTACTCTCCGCATCAGCTCAAGGGGATGTGTAACACTCCCTCCCTCAATTGCTCTGGCACAGGCATAGCCATGTAGCCCCGCTGAAGCCCTCCACGGAGCCAGAGGCCTGGGCTCACCCCGCTGTTCTTCCACTCACACCACAGGCCAGCTGGTCCTGCAGCCAGGAAGGGGGATGCTTCTTCAGGGGGGCTGGCCAGCCAGCGGCAGTACAGATCATTGTCAGGGGCTTCCTAAGGATCAGGAGGTCTCAAAGCCTCAGGTGCAGGCACACTGGGGCAGAGGATGCACAGAAAGGGGCTGCTGGCCCGGGGTACTGGTACTGCAAACTACCCAAACTTTGAGTTTTATAGCACACTCGAGCCTTTAATTCACTGGTAATCAAAAAAAGTTATTGGAACACAGGATTGAGTCCTTGAAGCCCTAGGGTCAGTAGATGATATGGCAGGTCAGAGAGGCAGCCATAGGCCTGGCCATGCACACTCACCCATGAGCCTGGCACACAGGGAACCGCTTCTCAGGCACGCTGTCCAGCATCTCCTGCATGCCACACACACAGTACTCCATGACCATATACGTGCAGTGCTAAGGAAACCACAGCCCAGCCCAGACTCCATCCCAGGCAGGACCTGTCCCCAGGGATAGATGGGAAGAAGGCCCTAGAAGGAGGTGGTGGGAGACCAGGGAAAACTGGGACAGGAGACCATAAGTGACCTCTAGTCTCAGGTCAGGAGTGAGGTATAGGGGAGAGGCTGCAGGACCAGACAGCTCAAGGTCAGGCAGATATTCCACAACCCTAGCTGTGTTTCCACCGAGGGGAGTCTTAAGACATGGACAGAGAAGAGCCACATGCTAGGAACTCTGCCACTACACCTGTGAGTCAGTGATGGACACTTGTGGAAGGACACTGACCCCTCAGAGGAACCCTGGGCCCTCATGAGCCTGCTTCTGGGAGCTGGGGTCAGCCACACATTCTGGTGAAAGCCTGTCCCCCTCAACAATGGGCAAAATCCAAGGACACTCTTGTATTCCAGTCATACCTCTGGCCCCAGAAGGCAAGGCCCAGATGCCAGAGGTAGAGGTATGCCAGCCACTGGGCTCCTAAATGTGGGGTTACCCAGACTGAGGCCAGGAAGTGTCTTTTCTCCAGACTCAGTTACTCCCGTTTGGCGCGACAGGGGGACACCAGATAGTTCTGGAATAACTGGGAAGACAGACACAGAGGTATCATGGTCCAGGTCCCCCAGCCCAATCCCGAAGGATATATCTTCTGCTTCTCCTCATTGTAAAGCACGTCCACTAGCTGGATGACGTTTCTGTGCCGCAACCTCCGCAGTAGCTGAATTTCCCTGGAGAGAGGACAGAGCATCAGCCAAACCCTCTGCGTGGTGGGATGCAGAGCTTGCCCTTGGGTGCCAGGCAGAGGACACATCAGCTCTGAGGTGCCAGGAGAACTGGGAAGCTCTGCCACTGCCCCTTCCACTGAGCCAGTCTGCACAGGGACAGCTGGTGGGGCCTGAACAGGGACAGCACAATCAGGACACTTGTTACCCATTTTAACTGAAGATGAACAATTTGTTTTGTAAGAGACCGCACTCAGGGACAGCAGAGCAAGGGTGGCAGGAGCACCTCGTATGCAGAGCTGTGCTTACGGTGCATCCCCAGAGATGGGGTTGTCATACAGAATGGCTAGGCCATGCCCACCCCTTGCTGTCTCCTAAGGACACCCTCTTCTCCCAGTACTCTAAAGTCCTGCAAGAAGGACAACTCCACCAGTCCTCGTAGAATGGACACGCCACTGTCAACCTGGCACCAACGACACCCGCTGGTTTCTGACAAGGGCTGGGCATAGACCCTGGGCACAATACTGTCTACTCTGCGAGTGGCCTTCCATGCGCCTAGTCTTCAAACAGTCTGAGCAGGTGAGGCACTGGGGGGCAGGAAGTGGTAGGTACCTCTTCAGAAGGTTGAAGTTACTGGTGACATAGCAACTCTGCTCCAGGTATGTACCCAGAACTGCAGACAGGTACACAAAAACCTGCCTGTGCACACTCATGGCAGCACCACACAGGGGCCTAGGGTACAACCACCCATGTGTCCATCCAGTGTCCTTCTACAGTGGAGCTCCACATGCCTGACTGCCCAAGCCCAAAAACATCTTTACTTTTTTCAAATATATATATATATATTAATTTTTTAAATTGATTTTCCACAGAGAGGAAGGGAGAGAGATAAAGAGCTAGAAATGTCAATGAGAAACATCGACCAGCTGCCTCCTGCACACCCCCTACTGGGGATGTGCCCGCAACCAACACACATGCCCCTGACTGGAATCGAACCTGGGATCCTTCAGTCCACAGACCGACGCTCTACCACTGAGCCAAACCGGCTTCGGCAGTTCAGTGCTCTTGTTGATGACAATAAAGTGTGTTATTAAAAAAAAAAAAAAAAAAAGAGGCCCACTTGCTTAACTTAATGAGGCTGACCCACTGGTGAGGTGGGATGAGTGTGGGAGAGTGTTCACTTGTAAGTCCAGTAACTGGATCAAAGCACTCCATGTAAACATGTAAGTCCCATAACTCACACCAGGAAATAACTCACACATCATCAGCTCCGCAGAGACGGGAAAGTGGGAACCTTGTGCCCCCAGCGGCAGGAGCATTTGTGTGGATGGTGTGTCAGGCGAGGTAACTGGAAACACGCCATTAGCATGACCTGAGCTGCCTACAAAAGAAATACAATGTAGGTGGCAGCCACCAAAACCATCACTCAGTGACCTCGAGGGCACAGAGGAACTTCTATCACTGTCCCTTTATATTGTCTACTTCTACATCTGCCTCTCTGACCAGAAAATGAGAATATTTAAAGAAAAAGAAACGTCCAAGTGCCCGCCAGGATGTAGGAAGTGAACGAGAAGTGGTGCCTTCCAGGTCAGGAAGGCTTGCCTCTGCTCCTTGGGAACCTGCCCGTGGGCAATGCCCATGCAAAATAGACTGTTCAGTGACTCTGATGAACGGAAGAGAAACTGAAAAGCCACCTACACACTCAGCCTGAAACACACGGGAATGGGTAAGGGAGACAAGGCCAGGACACAGCCTCTGCTCAGAACCATCTCACCTTGCTACCCTCCAGACAGATGCAGGGCAGGCCCAGGGCTAATGGCAGCTTTGACAGGGGGCACTGAGCAAGATCCCCTCACCTGGTCCTTCTGCTGACACTACCTTTTTTTTTTTTTTTTTAATATTTCTTTATTGATCTCAGAGAGGAAGGGAGGAGAGAGAGAACATCAGCAATGAGAGAGAATCATTGATCAGCTGCCTCCTGCATGCCCCCACTGGAGATCAAGCCCACAACCCAGGCATGTGTCCTTGGCCAGAATCAAACCCTTCAGTCCGCAGGCCAAGGCTCCAACCACTGAGCCAAACCCACCAGGGCCTTCTGCTGACACTTCTAAACACAGGGCAAAGGGCCCTCAGAAGTGGAAGAAGGAATAAAATAAGGGGAAATTAACATTGCAGTTCAACACACACACTTGCACATAAACGTTCACAGCAGCAGGATTTATAATAGGCACTGGATGGAAACAACTCAAAAGCCCATCAACAATAAATAAACAAAATGTCACCCATTCACACACTGGGATATTCCTCAGCCACAGAGAGGAGTGCTGACACTCCCTAAAACGTGGATGGGCCTTGAAAAAAACGAAACTCAGTAAGAGAACCCAGACACAAAAGGCCACACAGTATATAATTCCATTTATGTAAACCGTCCAGAACAGGCAAAACCAGAGACAAAAAGTGGGTTAGTGGTTGCCAGAGGCTGGGGAGGGCGCGTCGGGCTAACTGGTGCTGGGAAGGGTTTCTTTTGGGATGATGAGACGTTCTGGAATAGGTAGTGGTAAAGGTTTCACAATCTGTGAAAGTATTAAATGCCACTGAATCACACATTAGGTGAGTTTTATGCTACAAAAATTGTCTCTCAATAAAGCTGTTAAAAAATAAATTACAGCCTCTGGCCAGTGTGCTCAGTGGTTAAAGAGTTAACCCACACACCAAAGGGTCTTGGGTTCAATTCCCAGTCAAGGGTTGTAGGCTTGATCCCCTGTCCCAACCAATCAGTTGGGGTACGTGCGGGAAGGCAACCAATTGATGTGTCTCTCTCACATTGTCTCCCCGCCCCTACACACACCACACACACACACACACACACACACACACACACACACACACACACCACATACACACACACCACACCCCCCCACATACACACCACACACACACACCACACACATACATACACCACACACACACACACACACACACACACATACACCACACACACACACACACACACACACACACACTTGTTAAAAAAAAAAAAATCAATGCAAAAAATATCCTTGGGTGAGGATTAACCAAAAATAAAATAAACAACAGTTCAGCCACAGGTGGATGATGTGGAATAAAGGGAAAGTCGGCTATAATTCCCCACATACTCAAGGGCAAAGAGCCAGAATTCTACATGGACTTTGGCCCAGTGCCTCTTGCTCCCACTGCTCTCACAGTCCCCCCACTATCAGGGAAAGACTAGGCAAATAGGGGGGTCCCCAGGACATTCAGTGCAGGTGAGCCTCAGGAGATAGTGTACCCTCTTGCTGTTGGCCTCACAGTGGAATCCTTCTCAAAACTGAGGAGGGTAGGCATCCTAGCAGGTACAAGTACCTTGTAGAGGCCACTTGGGACAGGAATAAGAGCCAAGGAAGTTCAGGGCTCTGGTCCCCAATGTGCTACATCACAACCATTTACCAGGCAGATCCAATCACGGCAAGGAAGTCCCAGCCTGGTCAGGCCCAGCAAGGACACTAACTTCTACTCCCAGAGCCATCACTCTGCTGGGAGCTGGCCACAGAGCGGGCAGGCCAGCCAAGCGAAAAGAAACAGCCTTAGTGGCCAAGCACATCATACTGGTTCTTCCCTAACACAAACGGCAGACACATATCAGAAGCCATACTCAATAGAGGGTAAGCTGTAATATGACAGAGCTGTGTGCACACAGCTCATCACACTCATGCACCCTTCTTCGAACCCAGAAACTCCATTTCTGGCCATGTGCCCTTCATACCCTTGAGCTTGTCACGAAACATGGCACAAAGTAACTCCCCAACACAGCAGAAACACCCGCAGCACAGGAGGACCACACTCAGCAAACGTGAGCAGGCCTGACAGGGACAGAAAGATAGATCGGCTTGGGCTGCAGGGCAGACCTCACCACGACTTTGTATGGTCCTAAGCAGGAGTGAAACTGTTTCATGTTTCTAAACATGAAAACAAAACAAAACAAAAAACACACATGAAGACCACTCTTTGATGACATGTGAGTATTCTTTCACTTGTGCAGTTGTACTGATGAGGGCCCGCCTAGTTGGACCCACTCACCACCTACACCCCGGAGTGTGCCCACCTGGTAGGGAACTGTCTATAGCTACAAGAAACCCTGCCCAAAGGATAAGGAGCAGGGGTGACCCCCCAAACACCTTCTTTTGGGCTCGATCTGTGCAGTTCCACTGCCTATTGGGAAAACAAGTACATTCAATTTATTGTTTAAAAGGGATCCTTAGGGGAATTTTATTTTTTATTAAAATCTGTTTGGGTAAGGTAAGAAAACAAATAAAGCCCTGGCCAGTTTGCTCAGTGGATAGAGCATCTGCCTGCGGACTCAGGGGTCCTGGGTTTGGTTCTGGTCACGGGCACATCCCCAGTAGGGGGTGTGCAGGAGGCAGTTGATTGGTGTTTCTCTCTCATCTCTCCCTCTCCCTTTCTCTCTGTAAAAATTTATTTAAAAATAAAAAAGGAAGTGGAGCAAGATACAACAGTATTAAGATTACAAGAAATGTTTTCATTTTTACTTGATGCTTTTTGGAACTTTGCTGTTTTATAGAAACAAGCAAGGGGCCACGTACAGACCCACAGCAGCCTTGCTAGAGGATGCCCATGAAGGAGAGAAAGGCATTCTGAACTGTCCCACCACTTGGGCAAACATTGTTCTTTCAGAAAAAAGCTTTGATTCAACTGAGGCTTGTCTGGAAGGTCTGGACATTCCTCTAAGAGAGCAGTGACTGCAATGGAGTTTATTAAACCTCTCGCAGACAAAGAAGCCTTTTTCCCTTGCAGTGGGCTAGCTGGCAGCAAGGGCGCCCAGCTCTCCAGGCCAGGGAGCTGACAACTGGCCCCTCAGCACCAGAGACCTGCATGGGAGAGGCCCACCCAATTCTCTCTGGTGGACTTGTGGAACAGTAGAGCCAGGGCTCAAGAAAGGAGGTGCAGCTGCAAAACCAGTTTGTAATTCCAGCTGCAAAACCAGGTGGATGGGGCAGCTCTGAGCCAGCCCAGCACTCCGAGGGAAAACTCATCAAAGGGAACCTCTGCACGCAGGTCTAGGCCTGAGTTGGTGAAAGCACGCACTGGCTCAGTGCCTGCTTCTGACACCTATGCTAATTGCCAGGTTGGCTGAGGATCACCAACCACTGGCCACTCTAGCCTGACTCCCCTCCAATTCTTCCCATAGACACTTCAGGACCCAGCTCCACGCAACTCCAACACTACATGCCCACATGTCTCCATCGCTCTTGGAACTTCAGCCGACCCTTTAGGAAATCAGGAGCAGGACGCCAGCGCCCTGTGGCCCTCCAGCTGGGTTCTGGTCATTTGTGTCTCTAGTGGAGCATGAGGGAGCTCTGGAGTGCCCTCTAACTTAACCTTGGCGTATAGAAACTGCATCTCCTGAAACGGTGCCTTTATCACGTGACATTATACCTTAGCAAAGTGTGTGTGTGTGGGGGGGGGGGGCTTGTCTACCCTGACATGCCCTCCTTCATGGTGGAGTGTAGACCTTCTGGGACCTGCGAACTCTGCTACCATCAGTCAGTGCCCTGACCTACATACACCGAGGCCCCATATGGCTAGCAGAGTGGGCTTGGTGGATGACTAGGCAGACAGATCAATTGGTGCTGGAACCCAGCCACGGGGAAGGGACTCTGGGAACTCCTCCTACCTCCTACCTCGGGCTGCTGCTCCCGAGAGGCTCGGGTCTGGGATGCACAGTAGAGAAACATCAAGTGGCCAGCACCAGGACAAACTGATGGACCAATGCCGATTCCATCCAGAGGGCTCAGTCAGGCGGGAAGAGACCAGAGCCCGTTCCAGGACAAATGGGATTTGATGCCTAAGAGGAGCCAGGAGGACAAGGGCAACCCTGGAGAGCAGGAGGGAGATCCATTTCCAGGGCAGCATTCCAAATGCAGGAACTCACTGCCCTCACCTGCAGTAGTAGCAATCCGGCTGCCTGAGGGCCACACTGTCCCCACAAACTTCTAATGAGAAAACATGACTTAGAGCCAGCAGAACAGTGGGAGTTTCTAACTTGAGAGTGAGGCCTCCCTTGGTCCTCAGAAGGGCATCTGCTTTCAGGCCTCAGTTTCCCCAAGGACACACCATGGCTCCTGCCCAACCCTCACCTCACAGATGAGAGACTGGTACAGAGAACTGACCAACTGGCCAAAGGTGCCCAGCCACACCTTCTCCCAGTGTCTTCAAGGATGAGCTGTAAAAAGGCCTCACCAGCCCTGGATAGAGCGTTGGCTTGAGGACTGAAGGGTCGTGGGTTCGATTCCAGTCAAGGGCACATGCCCGGGTTGCAGGCTCGATCCCCAGTAGGGGAGCATGCAGGAGGCAGCTGATCAATGATTCTCTCTCATAACTGATGTTTCTATATCTCTCCCTCTTCCCTCCCTCTCTGAAATCAATAAAAATATATTATTTAAAAAAAAAAAAAAAAAGTCCTCACTAAAACACAACCCACCTTGCCCACTGCCCCACCCACCCTGCAGGTGGCTCAGAATACCAAGCACTAACAAGGAGCCTGTCAGTCCAACCCCAGTTCTCTACTCCATCCCCCCTCTCCACGCCCCCCGGTGTCCCGGAGCAAGTGGAAAGAGCCCAGCTCTCCTGTCAGTGGAAAGAAGGGAGGTGAAAGCCCACCCAGTGTGCGGCACTTCTAGGCCTGGCCTGGCCTGGCCAGCCTGCTTGGACCAGACAGGCCAAGGTCACAGTAAGTCCTGCAGCCTGGCACGTTAGATAAACCTCTTCTGGGAATCTAGAAGCTGGGAGGGGTGTGGGTGTGGGTAGGGCGGGGTTCCACCTTGGCAGCAATAAGGGGACCCCCCCACCGCCCGCCATCCTGAGACTAGAAGAGGAAGGAGACAGAGCCCCCACCGCCCTTGGGGGGCTTTTGATAGCAGATCTTGGCACTTCCAGGGTATCTAGGGGGCAGATGGCGCAGAAGAAATTTATGTAAAAAGTTCACTAGGACATAAGCAATTCCCCTCTGGGGGTCACTGGGCCTGCAGTCAGGGATATCTAGTGACATTCAGACCAGCAGGAAGGGATAAGTACCCCCTGCTGACTGATAAGCCGGTGCAAACAATTATTTTTGGCAACTACAGGGTTCCCCTCCAACAGGATAAACAAATCGCACTGCGCCTGGCGCTAGTGCCATACTGGCTGCTCACTAAGCAGAAAAACTGACGGCCTCCAAGGCCGTTTCCGGGCAGAAACTCTCAGGGCCAAACAAACACTGGCTGGCTCCACTGGGCACCTAAGTTCTTTGGACAGCTGGCAGAGCCAGGGAAAGAGGAACGGGCCCCCATGGAGGACGATTTTGACCCTGGCACTGAAGAGCCAAACGCACCAGAACCCAGCTAGCCTGACTTCCTGAAAGTACTTAAACACCTTTCCAACCACACTTTCTCTGGCAAGGGGGGTGCAGGAACAGCTGGTCACCTCAGGGAGGAAAGAAAAGGAGGGAGGGAGGGAGGGAAGGAGGGAGGGAGGGAGGGAGGGAGGGAGGGAAGGAGGGAGGGAGGGAGGGAGGAAGGAAGAAAGAAAGGAAGAAAGGAAGGAAAAAGAAAGGAAGGAAGAAAAAGAGGGGAAGGAAGGAAGGAAGGAAGGAAGGAAGGAAGGAAGGAAGGAAGGAAGGAAGGAAGGAAGGAAGGGGAAGGAAGGGAGGAAGGAAGGGAAAGGAAGGGAGGAAGGAAGGGGAAGGAAGGAAGGAAGGAAGGAAGGAAGGAAGGAAGGAAGGAAGGAAAGAAGGGAAAGGAAGGGAGGAAAGAAGGGGAAGGAAGGGAGGAAAGAAGGGGAAGGAAGGAAGGAAGAAAGGAAGGGAGGAAGGAAGGAAGGGAGGGAGGAAGGAAGGGAGGGAGGAAGGAAGGAAGGAGGGAGGGAGGGAAGGGGAAAGGGAAGAAAGGACGACCACCATGGCGGGCCTGGGGACATCCAAAGCTGCACAGGTCAGAAAGCCCACACTTACTTCTTCACGTTGGCTTCCCCATTGGGGATCCTCCGCAACTTCTTCTTCTTGAGAATTTTGACGGCTCTTCTGCACAACGTCTCCGAGTCCAGCACCTCCTTGACTTTGCCGTAGGACCCCTCCCCCAGCAGGTCCCCCATCAGGTACTTGCCAATGAGCTTGGCGCGCTTGCGGCGGGGCTGGTAGATGACCTCGGTGGAATCGATGCGGTGGATGAACGTGTCCATACCCACCGACATCAGCTCGCCCTCTGTAAACATGCCCAGTTGCTGCGGGTCTGCCACATCCATCCTGGACCCAAAGACTCGACTCGCGCCGCAGGGCAGTACCTTATCCCCTTTATGGATGACCCGGTGAGCGGTTCTTCTTTTTGTCCCACCCCCACCCCCTCAAATTCCCTTCTCAAAAAAAATGAAAGTCAACAAAAACGCGAAAGAAAGAAACAACCCTTCTTCGAAAAGAAACGATTGTACGAAACGTGAGTTCAAGAGGCGTGATGGTCCGAGGCCCGGGCGCCCAACGGTGCGCAGCGCCGCAAGTTTCAATGCGACCAGGGCTGGCAGCTCCGGGTCGGGCCGGAGCGTCCTCGGGGGCCCTGGGGAGGCCGGTGGGGTTGCGAAGTGCTAGGTCATCCTCCAGGGACTTTAGACCCTCCGGCAAACACGGTCGCGGCCGGACCAAGTCTTCTCTGGGCCGTCCATTTCTAGCGGGCAGTGGCGCGCGCCCGGAGCCCCAGCAGGCCCCGGAGCCCCCAAAGCTGGCAGGTGAGCTTCGCCGGGGGCCGGGGCGTCTCCGGCAGCTCGTGGTCCTCGGCGTCCCGAGACCTGGCAGGTGCCAATCGGCTCGGTCGGCTGCCGCCAGCCCCGGGCGCGTATCGGGGGTCGGGAAGTCACCTGGAGCACTCCCGCCGCAAGTAGCAACTTCCGTGGGACCCGGCCTCCAGGGCGCCCCCAAACCGGCCTGGGACACACAAGCGGCCTCGCGGGCGCCCCGCACCCCAAACGGCAGCCCGCGCTCGCTCTCCGACCCGAACGCCGTCCGCCTCGGCTCTCGAAGCGCAGGGGGACCGTAGAACTCCGGGCGCAGGCCACAGGCCCCGGGCCGGGGGTTCCCGATGCAGCGGGGACCGGGCAGCGCGTCCCCCGCCGCGGCCGCCCCAAGCGTGGAGCAGGAGGGGCGGCGCGGGGACCCAGCCCATGCAAGGCGGCCGCGGTGCCACCCGGCCCCGCCGCCGCCGGCACGCCCGCCGCCTCACTTGCGAGCGCCCCGGGCCGCCTCCCGCTTCCGCACCCGACACGCCGCCGCCATCTTGTTTACCTCCCGCCCCCGCCCTGAGCCGCCGCGCCGCCGCGGACCCGCCCCTCGCGGCGCCGACGTGCCCGCCCGTTGGCCCAGACGGCACTCCCCGCCCCGCCCCGCCCCAGCCGTCTATTGGACCGTTTGGACCCGGGCGGGCGGCCGAGCAGAGATAGGTTCGCGCTCGGCTCCGCCCCCAGGGTGAACACTGCTTGCTCATTGGCCCGCAGAGGCACCCTCCCCTGGGGGCGGGGCGGGAAGTGAGGCTGCGGCGGCGACCTCGGAGGGGCTTGAGCCTGTGGTTGGAGGTTGGGGTGCTAAGAGGCTCCCCGGGACATCCGTGAGGAGGGTGTAATCTTTGTGGGCCAGGACGCGGCTCGGGGACTTAGCAGGGTGCCTTCCAGCGCCCCCTCCACGCCGGGACTTTTCTCCAGACGAGGTCAAGGGTTAAAAAATAGCCCACTTTGTCTCGTCTCGGGCTGCCGCCGTGTCTGCCCACCTGCAACGGATGGCGTGAGGAACTGCTCCAGCTTCCTGATCGAGAGGAACAAGCGGACGTACAGCACCGAACCCAATAATCTGTAGGCCCGCAACTCCTTCCGCTACAACAGATTGGTTTACCGCTGGAGGGTGGGCGTGGAGCTTGGCAGCCGACCGTAAGGGGTGTTGGTCGTCCAGAAGCGGAGATCCGGCCAACGAAAGCCCGCACCTCCTACTTGTAAGAACGCCCGGATAGTATCCAGCATTTGATTCCCAAGAACAAGTACCTCCCGGAGCTGCGCATGGCCGCCATCCGCAGGGCCAGCACCAGCCTGAACAGCAGAAGCCCGAGAAGGTGGAGAGGAAGCGGGCTCGCCCCACCAAGAGCTCCTGAGCCCCCTGCTTCCCCCCGCCCCCCGCCCCAAAGCAATAAAGGTATTAGCCAACTTTTCTAAGGGGGGCGGGGGAGTCGCCTAAAATGGTCAGTTCAAGGCAGACCTTGATTCTGGGCCTGTTTCCTCCTCTACAGAGTGGAGACTTCGTCCAGATTGACATTTCATGACCAGGCTTATCTCAAGGGTAGAAAGAATGTAGTATAGCTGGTGTCCCTGTTTCCATAAAGTAAAAAAGGGAACTATATATTCATATATGCAAATGCACAGAAACTAATTCTGGAAGGACACTATCCTCCAATTCCCTAGCAGAGGGTGAGCACGCTGGTCTCGGCCCTAAAGGAATTCAGGAATGAAAAGGAAGCACAGAGCTGCAGAGAAAGTGCTTTGGTTGAAAAAAGTTGACCTGAAGTTGATGCTGAAAATAACTCCCTTGTATCAGGTCCCTTCATTTCTACTTTTCTGCTTTTTAGCACTAGATTATTTGGCCAGAACTGTCTGTATGAAGTTCCTGATTTACAAGTCAAAAAGTAAAGACACATCAGATTTGGGGTCCAGGCTGGGTCATGTGTCATGGCCCTTGAATTTCCTTAAAACTGCAAAATTTAGTGTGCCCATGTACATGTTGGGGACAATCCTTGAGTTTCATCAATCTTTTAAATTAATTTATTTTAAAATTAATGTACATCAGATTCCTCAAGGACCCATATAAAGGGATGTTGGTGGCCTGGCCTGAGTGGCTTAGTGATTGGAGAGTTGTCCTGTACAAGGAAGGATAAAAGGTTTGATACCTGGTCAAGGACACACACACACCTGGACATCAGGGCTCCTGCTTTCTCTCTCACATTGATGTTTTCCTCTCTCCCTCCACTCTCTAAAAAAAAATCAATGGGAAAACTATCCTTCGGTGAGGATTAACAAAAACACACACACAAAAAAACATATAAGGGGGATTAGTTTGGCTTTGGGGAGATGTGGAGGCACAAGGGACACCAGCAAATCCAAATAAAAACATGCTGATAGGCCCAAACTCCTTTTTTAAAAATATATACTTTTTAAGTTGATTTCAGAGATGAGAATCATTGATTGGCTGCTTCCTGCATACCACCTGACCAGGAATAGAACCATAGAATCAAGACCTCCTGATTCATAGGCTGATGCTCAATCACTAAGCCACACCGGCTGAGCCCCAAAATTCTTTTTTTTTTTTTTAATTTTAATTGATTTTGTAGAGAGGAAGGGAGAGAGTTAGAAACATCGATGAGAGTCATCGATCAGCTGCCTCTTGCACAGCTCCCACGGGGGATATACCTGTAACCAACGTACATGCCCTTGACCTGAATCGAACCTGGGAACCTTCAGTCCCCAAGCCAACGCTCTATCCATTGAGTCAAACCGGTTTCGGCCCCCAAACTCCTTTGGAGAAGGAAATAAAGAACAGAGCACAAACTAAAGAAATAGGGAAATTAATGAAGCAAAAAAATTATTCTTTGGCCAAAACCGGTTTGGCTCAGTGGTAGAGTCTGCGGACTGAAAGATCTCAGGTTCGATTCCGGTCAAGGGCATGTACCTTGTTTGCGATCACATCCCTAGTAGGGGGTGTGCAGGAGGCAGCTGGCCCATGTTTCTCTCTCATCGAAGTTTCTAATTTTTTTAAAAATATATTTTATTGATTTTTTACAGAGAGAAAGGGAGAGAGATAGAGATCTAGAAACGTCGAAGAGGGATAAACAATAACCAGCTGCCTCTTGCACACCTCCGACCGGGGATGTGCCCACAACCATTGTAATGACCTTGACCGGAATCGAACCTGTGACCCTTCAGTCTGCTCCGCAGACCGACGCTCTACCGCTGAGCCAAACCGGTTTCGGCCAAAGTTTCTAACTTACTATCCCTCTCCTTTCCTCTCTGCAAAAAATCAATAAAACATATATTGTTTAAAAAAATTATTCTTTGAAAAGATGTAAAAAAAAGTTACAAAACTAGATTAGCTAGATTAGCCCAAAAGAAAGACCAATATCATGAAAGAAAGCATATTAGTCACCACCGACCCTACCAATATTAAACAGATTAAGTGCTAGGGACAATTCTATGCCCATACATTTTTTTTTAATGCCCATAAATTTAAAGTCCTACTTGAAATGCACCAACACCTTGAAAGACACTAAAATGAAAGCTTACTCAGGAAGAAATACATCATCTGCATAGTCTTATATCTATTAAAAAAATCTGTAGTGAAAAAGCTTTCAACAAAGACTTGTCCACAAAATACTCCCTCACCAACTAGGGAAACAAAATACTTCTATGGAAATAAAGACTTCAGCCAAAACCAGTTTGGCTCAGTGGATAGAGCGTCGGTCTGCGGTCTGAAAGGTCCCAGGTTCGATTCCAGTCAAGGGCAAGTACCTTGGTTGAGGGCACATCCCCAATAGGGGGTGTGCAGGAGGCAGCTGATCAATGTTTCTAGCTCTCTATCCCTCTCCCTTCCTCTCTCTCATCGATGTTTCTAACTCTCTATCCCTCTTTCTTCCTCTCTGTAAAAAAAATATTTAATAAATTTTTTTAATAATCAATAAAAATATATTTTTTTAAAACAAATTATCTCACTTTTATATTTCTTTACCCATTTTCCTTGTCTCTGGCACTAGACTGGGATCACTGGGGTTGGTGCTGAATCTGAGTCTGTCTTGGTCACTGCTGTGCCCTCATGAATGAGAGCTGTACAGTTCAGTACAGCAGCCACTGGCCAAATCTGACTAGTAAGCTCTTATAATGTGACTGTCCAAATTGAGATATGCTGTGAATGTACACTAGATTTTAGAGGAAATGTTATTAAAATTAACTATAGCTGCCCTAGCTAGTGTGGTTCGGTTGGTTAGAGCATTGTCCTGTACACTAAAAAGTGGTGGGTTAATGGTCAGGGCACATAACCAGAGGGCAGGTTTAATACCCAGTCAGTGGCATGCAGGAGGCAATTGTCTTTCTCTCACATAGATGTTCCTCTTCCTCCCTCCCTCCCTCCAGGGCCTAAGACCCCGGCAGAGCTACTCTCAGCCTCTCCTGGGACCATCTTGTGGCCTCAGGCCTTTTCCCAGCAGAAATCCTCAGTTGAGGCTTTTTGGCCTCTCACTTCCCACTTCTATTTCCCTTAAAGGGGGATTAACAATACTGTCATCAAATATTAGGCCATTGGTAATGAGATGTACTATTATTTCATGAATTTCCACAAAAAAGAAAGATTAAAGAGTGGGAAATAATGCTTTGGGTTGAGACTGGGCAGTGTGGCTCAGTGGTTGAACACTGACCTATAAACCAACCAGGTCAGTTCAATTCCTGGTCAGATGCCTGGATACTGGCTCTATCCTCAATAGGGGGCATGCAGGAGGCAGTTGGTCAATGATTCTCTCTTCGATGCTTATGTGTCACTTCTCCCTTCTATGAAATATATTTTGAAAAATGCTTTGTGTTAAAAGAAGCAGCCTGACCTCTGCAAACTATGACAAACGGGAATAATCACAGGGCAAGACAGGAGCATAAAGACTTGTGACAGCCCTGAGAAAATCTTGTCCTGAATTCTCCATCCTCACCAACCTGCAGGTCTTGCTAAGGATCCTGGGTTACAGGTGTGGGCCCCAGGTTATGAGTGGGAGTCTTCCGATTATAAATGGAGGGATTTGCAGATCCCCATGTCCAGCCAGCTCCCAAACCCAACCCCTGCGAAGCCCTTTAGCTTTCCCAGCACTGATCACAGATGTCCCCAAAGGCCCCTTCACCACCGAAGATGGAGGGAGCCAACTATCCTGGTCACTCTCCAGGCCAGCTGCTCCCATCCTGGGTGACCGTGTGGATCTGAAACCTTTTTTTACCTCAGTTTGACACACAAGCACCCAGGGAGCCTTGGCCACGGTCCCACCACCTGCCTCTTGGTGGCCACAGGTGTTCACACAGACCTGGAGCACATCCTAGGATGCAACCATAGCGGAATTCCCTGAGGGAGCTGATCTCTGGAAAGGCTCTTCGGGCTCCTGAGGGGGTCCACTTGTCAGGGGTAGGGTCTGAGCTAGACCTGTAGGCAGGAACTCAAAAATCTACCGAGTACGAGCAAATGCTGTGTGTGGCCTTGCTGTGTTTTGTGATCATAGCTACAGTTGTGAAGTGGCAGACCTTTTTATTTATAGATTTGTGCAAAGGGCAGCCAATCAATGATTCTCTCTCCCTCTCTGAAACCAGTAAATATATATATATATACATACATACATATAGATAGATAGATAGATAAAGAAAGCACCCTGGCTGGTTTGGCTCAGTGGATAGAGCCTACAGACTTAAGGTTTTCAGGTGTAATTCCAGCCAAAGGCACGTGCCCAGTTTGTGGGGTGTACAGGAGGCAGCCAATTAATGGCTCTCTCATCATTGATGTTTTTCTCTTACCCTTCCTTTCTGAAATCATTAATTTTTTAAAAAAATATATTTTATTGATTTTTTACAGAGAGGAAGGGAGAGAGATAGAGTTAGAAACATCAATGAGTCATCGATCAGCTGCCTCTTGCACACCCCCTACTGGGGATATGCCCACAACTAAGGTACATGCCCTTGACCGGAATCGAACCCGGGACCCTTCAGTCCCCAAGCTGACACTCTATCCATTGAGCCAAACCGGTCTTGGCTGAAATCACTAATTTTTATTATTATTTTTTAAAGTAGGCCTTGATTGGTTTGGCTCAGTGGATAGAACATTGGCCTTCGGACTCAAGGGTCCCAGGGTCAGGGCACACAGGTTGTGGGCACATCAGCAGGGGGGGGGGGGAGTGCAAGAGGCAGGGGATTGATGTTTCTGGCTCTCTATCCCTCTCCCTTCCACTCTGTAAAAAAATCATAAAATATATTTTAAGAAAGTAGGAACCCTCCCCTTGACTGGAGAACGAGAGGCCTATGAAGGGAATGGGAACCTGAGGGGAGATACTACATTCAGTCCAGCAATGGCCACCTCTATGGGTACTTAAGAGATGCCAGGTTGGGAGAATCAAGGGGGAGGGGAACAGGGAAGATAGCATAGGACCCTGAACATTCCCAGGCATGTCATAGAAGCTCCCAACCCCCTTCCCCCCCAATATCTGTGTGGCTGTCACTGTGTTTACAGCAGGGACCCTCACTATCCAACATTCTGGCAAACACTAGAAGTCTTGCTGGACCTGCGCCTCCAAGTACTGTGCCCAGGCCCAATCCCCTCTGCTGGATGATTGGCAAACCGCCCAGAGCCGCAGACACTTGGAAGAATGGGTTGCACTCGGATGAGGTAAGTCCGCTTTTTATTAACTACTTGAGAGGGATGAAGCGGGAGGAGTGGGTGGCTCCAATGCCAGGCCTGCCGTGCTTCACGGGCTTGTAGGTGATGGAGAACTCACCCAGGTAGTGGCCAATCATCTCAGGCTGTGGGAGGCAAAGAATGGACCTGGTAAGTGACCAGGGGAGGGCAGGCCCACACCCACCCAGGCAACACAGCCCCACCACACACCTTGATTTCCACCTGATTGAAGGTCTTGCCATTGTAGACGCCCACCATGCTGCCCACCATCTCCGGCAGGATGATCATGTCCCGCAGGTGTGTCTTCACCACCTCTGGCTTCTCCATGGGTGGGGCCTCCTTTTTGGCCTTGCGCAGGCGCTTCAGAAGCGAATGCTGCTTCCTCCGCAGGCCCCGGTTTAGCCGCCGTCGCTGCCGGGCACTGTACAGCTGCATCAACTGCTCGCTGGGGGACAGGCAGGGCAGAATATGTGGCCTAAGCCCTGGCAGATACCCCACCCTTCACCACTAACACTAATGTTCCCTATCGTGCCCCAAAGCAATGTTCACAGCCAGTCAATTATGCAAGAGGAATCCTGCAAAATCAACAACCTGCACAGCACTGTCTAGAAATGAGGAAGGACATGCTGCTCGGGTGAGGTGGTGCAGCTGGAACTTTGTGGACTAAAAGCTGTGTTGCTAGAGGCCTCAAGAACCCAGGAGAGCCGAGACCGTTTGGCTCAGTGGATAGAGCGTCGGCTTGGGGTTCGATTCCGGTCAAGGGCATGTACCTTGGTTGCGGGCATATCCCCAGTAGGGGGTGTGCAAGAGGCAGCTGATAGATGACTCTCATCGATGTTTCTATCTCTCTCCCTTCCTCTCTGTACAAAATCAATAAATTAAAAAAAAAAAAAAAAAAAAAGAACCTAAGAGAGCCGAGACCGGTTTGGCTCAGTGGATAGAATGTCAGCTTGGGGTTCGATTCCAATCAAGGGCATGTACCTTGGTTGCGGGCACATCCCCGGTAGGGGGTGTGCTAGGGGCAGCTGATCGATGATTCTCTCTCATCGATATTTCTAACTATCCCTCTCTCTTCTTCTCTGTATAAAAAAATCAACAAAATATATAAAAATAGTTAAAAAAAAAAAAAAAAAAGAACCCAGGAGAGGAGCCGAGTCTGAGAAATGATCAGCCTCCTCTTTGTCCCCAGGAAACTGGATCCACCACGCCTAGACCCAGAAACACCTTCAGGAGAATCAGAGTCCCTCCCTCCTTCCCTCCTGTTTGGAGACTCAGACCCAAACCCGCCCTGACCCTGGCTGGGGACAAGAGTTTTAAGAAACATAAGTCAGACCACCTAGAAGCTTCCAGCTTTGACCAAATCTTAGACCTGGGGTTGCAAACTCCCACCCACAAGCCAAACCTGGCCCGATGCCTGACCTTACAAGGCTTGTGAGCTACAGACATTTGCGTTTTCAAGTGAATGAAAAGTTGTCAAAAAGGACACGTTAACATTCTATTAATGTCAAACCTCTGAGCCGCAGCCCAACTACATTGGATCTAAGGCCGAGTCAGCAAGTCAGGCTGCAGCTCCTAGCCCCTGGGACCCCCTCCCGCCGCCATCCCTCCCCCCGGTTCGGCCGACCCTTCCTTACTATGACATGTCAAGCAGTTGATCCAGATCCACGCCGCGGTAGGTGAACTTGCGGAAGGTCCGCTTCTTCTTCTGCTCCACTTCCGCCTGCGCGGGCCCGGGACAAGGGTGAGCGGGAGCCCGAGACCCATCTCCCACCCCGACGGCTACAGCGGGTCACCAGACGCAAAGGTCGTGCCGAAAAACGCGTGGCAGGCCCGGCAGAAAAGCCCGTGGGGACACACCACCTCGGGCGGGTCCGAGGGCGCGGGAGGCTAGGGGATTTGGCTGAGACAGGAGGGCATGTACAGGCCTTTCCCTCCGCGGGTGGTCATGACACCCACAAGGACCGCGCACCCACATCCAGCGGCGCCGGAGGACTGGGGAACGTGTCTTAGAGGCACGGCCTGGCCCCGGCCTCCAAGGAGCAGCCAGAGCCAGGATGGCGCCGGATAAGCCCGCACAAACGAAGAAAGTGCCAACACTTACCATCTTGTCTGTTCCCCGGAAAGGCCAACCCGCTCGGCGCCTGCGCAATTATCTCCGGTTCGCCCAGGGCCCCGCCCCTTGACGCTGCGTGCGCAACACTTCCGCTCCTGGAGGAGGATGTGCACCCTCTGCTGTCCGGAGGGTGGAGCGCAGTCTACGAGGGCAAAAGCTTTTTTTTTTTTTTTTTTTAAAGAGGATGCTTTGTAAAAAAAATATATTTTTTAAAATTGATTTCAGAGAGGAAAGAAGAGAGAGAGAGAAATATCAATGATGAAAATCACTGAGCGGTTGCCTCCTACAGACCTCCTACTGGGGATTAAGCCCAAAACCTGGGCATATCCCCTTGTCAGGAATGGAACTCGGAACCCTTTAGTCCGCAGGCTGATGCTCTATCCACAAAGCAAACCAGCTAGGGCAGCAAAAGCTTTAAAAAAAAAAAAAAAAAAATATATATATATATATATATATATATATATATATATATATATATATATATTATTGATTTTTTTACAGAGAGGAAGGGAGAGGAATAGAGAGCTAGAAACATTAATCAGCTGGTACCGGGGATGTGCCCGCAACTAATGTACATGCCCTTGACCAGAATAGAACTTGGAACCTTTCAGTCCGGAGGCTGAGGCTCTATCCACTGAGCCAAGCCGGTTTCTGCAGCAAAAGCTTTTATTAAGGACTCGGACACACAGCCGAAACCGGTTTGGTTGCAGGCACATACCCATTAGGGGCTGTGCAGGAGGCAGCTGATCGATGTTTCTCTCTCATCAATGTTTCTAGCTCTCTATCCCTCTCCCTTCCTCTCTGTAAAAAAAATCAATAAAATATATTTAAAAAACAAAAAGGAGCCGAGACCGGTTTGGCTCAATGGATAGAGCTTCGGCTTGGGGACTGAAGGGACCCGGGTTCGATTCTGGTCAAGGGCATGTACCTTGGTTGCGGGCATATCCCCAGTGGGGGGGGTGCAAGAGGCAGCTGATCGATGACTCTCTCTCATCGATGTTTCTAATTCTCTCTCTCACTTCCTCTCTACAAAATCAATAAAAAAAATATTTAAAATAAATAAATAACAAAAAGGACTTGGACACCACCCTCAGCCACCTAGAGTTTGGGCAATTCCTGAAAGTCACTGCTCCTTTCAAGCCTCATATTTGTGCTCTATAATCTCCATTAATGGAACCCAACTAACAAGGGTTTATGGAGCGCTACTGTTTGAAGCTGGTGCTGTCTGGTTTTAGTCCAGAGTTCCGTAATGGAGCTGATCCTGTTGTAATAGCTAATTGTTAATAACAGGGAAGTAGTGAAAGGAAGGCCAAATATTATTGGGCATGTCATTTGGGCAGCTTCACAGGAAACTAAAGCTTTATACTCCACAGGGAGCTGCTGGTCTATTCCTTGCAGATCTCTGGGAAGGGACCAGACAGGGAGGAGAATAGATGTATGCCCAGTAAAGTTGGGGTGATGTTGGGAAGGTACCCGTCAGGGACACCTGGGAACAGGTCATTGGTCAGAATGAGTGTGGCCAATGCAAGGGCATGAAATTTGGGATACTTGCCGGGACCGGTTTGGCTCAATGGATAGAGCGTTACCTTGGGGACTGAAGGGTTCCGGGTTCGATTCTGGGCATGTACCTTGGTTGCGGGCATATCCCCAGTAGGGGGTGTGCAAGAGGCAGCTGATCGATGACTCTCTCTCATTGATGTTTCTAACTCTCTCTCTCCCTTCCTCTCTGTATAAAATCAATAAAACATATTAAAAAAAGAAATTTGGGATACTTAATTTACTAAACAAAGGAGTGCACTCTTGTGCTCTGTGCTCTTGGATCGTCCTATGCTCTTGAGACTGTTTTTAAAAATATATATATTTTATTGATTTTTTTTTTTTGCAGAGAAGAAGGGAGAGGGATAGAGAGTTAGAAACATTGATCAGCTGCCTCCTGCATACCTGCTTTTGGAGATGTACCCACAATCAAGGTAATGCCCTTGACTGGAATTGACCCTGGGACCTTTCAGTCCACAGGCAGAGGCTCTTTCCATTGAACCAAACCGGCTACAGCTGCTCTTGGGACTCTTATTGCTCCTGACATGCTCTCCTGCATTCACCAACATGTGGACCCCAACAGCGATTCATGAACTGCAGCTAGCCTCATGCTGAACTGGATCTGGCTGCAACATGGAGCGACAATTCTGGACACTGGCTCTGCTTCTAGCTCCACTGGAACTCCAGCTACACTTCTTCGATGACTGGAATGGACTTTGGAAACCCATGGTTGTAATTCCACACAAATGAAAATCACTTGGGGAGGGAGGGCATGTATGGGAGTGGGGGTGGGGTGGGGATTGGTAAGGTATGTATACATATAATACCTTAATAAAAAAATGAGGGTGGGTGTGAAGAGAGCAAAGCGCCTGAAGAATGCCTCTATGAATAACACACCCAACAGCAACTTGGGCCTATTCTTCACAGGTGGCAGGATACCATGACTTTCCTGTGACAGAAAGCCCAATACATGGAAAAAAAGAAGAAAAGAAAGTATGCCACGGGATAAAGTATAGGACACCTGAACGTTACTGCATAGAGAGGATGACCGTTAGAGTGCCTATTTCTTTATAATACACTGCTGGTGATCTTTACTTTAGTGTTCTTCCTTTTCTTTGTTAGGGAATAACCTTTATTAGTTGAAATTCATAGCCTGTATTAAGTGTTTTTTCACTCACCCTGACTGGTTTGAGTCAGTGGGTAGAGCGTCGGCCTGCGGACTGAAGGGTCCCAGGTTCGATTCTGGTCAAGGGCATGTGTCTTGGTAGAGGGCACATCCCCAGTGGGGGGTGTGCATGAGGCAGCTGATTGATGTTTTCTCTCTCATCGATGTTTCTGACTCTATCCCTCTCCCTTCCTCTCTGTAAAAAAATCAATAAAAAAATATTTTTAAAACACTTAACAACAAAAAGTATATTTAAAAAAAAAAAGAGGAAAAAACAAACAAATAAAAACCACTCATCCTACCCTGGCCGGTTTGGCTCAGTGGATAAAGCATTGGCCTGTGGACTGGAGGGTCCTGTGTTTGATTCCAGCCAAGGGCACATGCCCGGGTTACAGGCTCTATCCCCAGTGGGGGGCCTGCAGGAGGCAGCAGATCAATATTTCTCTCTCATTCATTGATGTTTCTAACTCTCTCTCTCTCCTTCTCTCTTCCTCTCTGAAATCAATAAAAAAATATATTTTAAAAATCACTCCTCCTTGTGAAAGCCTCAGAAAATTCTTTTTCTTAAGATATATAAGGACCCCAACTCCAGCATCCAGAGGGAAGAGGACACCCCAATTTCTCTGATAACTGAGCTGTTGTTGCAGTATGGGAGGTAGTCCCCATAAGGAACATGTTAATAGATTGTAGAGCAGGAGGAAAATCCAGGAGGGGTGGGACTACGGCGTCTAACATGGTCAGAAAAGGGCATCCCTGATAAGAACCTGTCAGCCTTAATTGACAAAATTATATAATTAACAACTACCGGTATATAACAGCTGCTAGGTTTGTAACATAAACTAATAATGGTAATAGCAAAAAAAGGAACAATGGACTAAATAGGAATACTGTTATTTTTCATTGATTAGAGAGAGAGAAAGGGAGAAACACTGATTTGTTGTTCCACACACTTATGCATTCATTGGTTGATTCCTGTGTATGCCCTGAATTGGGATCAAACCCACAACCAGGAAGTTAGTGTCCATCTGAAGGTGATTATTGTATATTAAGGTGTATATGGTACCATAGGACCTAGCAATCTCACTTCAGGGTGTATACTCCAAAGAACTGAAAGCAATGATTTAACCAGATTTGACAATCATGTCTATTTCTTTTTTAAATGTATTTTATTGATTTTTTACAGAGAGGAAGGGAAAGAGATAGAAACATCTATGAGAGAGAAACATCGATCAGCTGCCTCCTGCACACACCTCACTGAGGATGTGCCTGCAACCAAGGTACATGCCCTGACCGGAATCGAACCTGGGACCCAGGTTCAGTCCTCAGGCTGACACTCTATCTAGTGAGCCAAACCAGTTTCGGCTGCACACGCATGTTTAGAACAGCATGACTCAAGAGGTGAAAACAACCCAAATGTCCATGGACAGATGAGTGAATAAGCAAAATGTGGTGCGTCTCCACACTGGAATACCATTCAGCCTTTATTTATTTGTTTATTTATTTATTTATATTTTTTACATACAGCCTTAAAAATGAAGGAAATTTACAGCTGCTACAATGTGGATGAACATGCTCAGTGAGATAAGCCAGACACAATAGGACAAATGTGTGTGATTCCATTCATAGGAGGTCCCTAGAGGAGTCGGATTTATAGAAAAAGAAAGCAACCCTGAAAAAAATGGTGGCAGAGCAGGAGGATGCTGCATGGACATGCTCCTAGGAACAAACTGGAATTACAACTGTAATTACAACGGAAAGGCTTCCTGAATAATCAACGGAAACTCACAGGAGAGAACCCTGATACCTAAGGACCGAAAGTGGAGACCGCATAGAGACTGGTAGAAGGGGTGGAGGCGTGCTGGCCAGGCACCCACAAACGGGAACTGAAGTCCCAGAGAGATATCTCAACTGTGGGGGGTGCCACTGAGAACCCTGAGATGTAATCTGGAAGCTGGGCTCCCCAGCAGAGAGCACCAAGCTGAGGAGGGTACCCACATAACATTTAGCTGTGAAAAGCAGTGGGGTGTTATCTACCAGAGAGTGGCAGCTGAAAGTTTGGGCACCCTCTTAAAGGGCCAACACATAAAAATTCCCTGTGGAGCCGAAACCGGTTTGACTCTGTGGATAGAGCGTCGGTTTGTGGACGGAAGGGTCCCAGGTTCGACTCCGGTCAAGGGCATGTACATTGGCTGTGGGCACATCCCCAGTGTGTGTGTGGGGGGGTATAGGAGGCAGCTGGTCTATATCTCTCATCAATGTTTCTAGCTCTCTATCCCTCTCCTTCCTCTCT